GACGAAACGAATGCCCAATTGATCGGCGTCTTGGACGACGTCTTGCAAGATTTGGATGGCAGATCGCTCTCCAATTTGAATTTGAAGGGGGAAATAGGAGAAGGACAGGAGGATGTCGTCGCCCAAGGTCAAGTGTGCCCCTCCCCTCAAAAAGATCCCGACGAAATGGACGCCGCAGTGGGAAACTTGATGTACGAATGCCCTCTGGCGGTGGGGTCTGTCCCGCACAACGTTTCCGACACGAGGGACGTGGCGAATTTCTATTTCGCCAAGAATTCTAAGTTCCACGTGAAAAATGAAAAATTGAAGATAACCGTTGATGACGATGAGGAAGAAGATGGTGACGACGATGGTGGAGCAGCTTGGATGGACAGTCTGAAGAAAATCGACTTTTCCGGGATTGAAGAGACAGAACGAGTCAGATTGATGGGGTTGAAACGTAAATTTGTATATTTTATTATATTTTTCTAAAGATCTCGTTCAGTAGTAGCGTCTCCTCCTTTCCATGAAAAAATCTCCCCGACTAACTAACGTTTAGACAAGTTATAAATTAGAGAATGAAATCAGTCTCAATTTCTTTCTCGACAAAGTAGCTCGGCGTACGCTCTCCGACTTTGAGCAAATTAGTGTCAATCTGTCACAAATTTAATTAGCATGAAATTTGCAAACGATACGATCTCCCAATGGGCACGTTTGGCTGAGATATTTGCATCCCAAGAGGAGAAAACGCACAGGAAAGTCGACAAATTTTCCACTTTCCAAATTTACCGTGCTTTTTTTCCTCTTCGGATGCAAATATCTCTGCCAAACGTGCCCATTGGGAGAAAGTGTCGTTCGCAAATTTCATGCTAATTAAATTTGTAATCGATTCACACTAATGAGAGCATTCTCTGGGAGACCTCCATTATAAGAATTATAATTACGTAATTCTTTAGAAAAATTGGAGCGAGAAGCCCAAGCGGTTCGTGAAATGGGAGCATTTGACGCAAAACTGGACGAGGTTGTGGAAGCAGAAAAGTTGTCCGAACTGGAGAGAAAACAGCGCACCTTATTTTCCGATGGTCAACAATCATATCGCCCAATGTCGTCGTCAGAAAAGATGAAAATCCACCCGAGAAATGCAGAACCGGTTCGTGCAAGTCCGGTCGACATGCAGGTTTCTGTTACATATGGCTTAAAAATAAAGATGAATGAATTCAGTGGTTCGATTTTTCACGTGCAAAACTAATTTTGGTAAAAAAAACTGTCCAAAATGTCCAAAAACTTTCAAAATTGTAAAATGTAGCAAAATGTTACATGTTTTTATTAACAAATTTTTTTGCAAGTTTGGTTAGAAATCAGTAATTAATATCATAAAATTTGGAATTTTTTTTGTAACATGTGACCGGTAATGAGAAATTTGGAAATTTTCGAAATTCATAGTATTACACAGCAAAATTCTCAAAATGAATGGGAGATTACAAATACATACGTTAACGGATTATCGAAATATTAAATTACGCTAAGAACTTGTAAAATTTTGCCCCATTTTATATTTTTGACACTTTTTGACATTTTGAACGTCCAAAATTCGATGTCAAAAACTGGTTAAAACCGTTTTGGACCCCTGTTTTGCATAGTGGTTAAAATCACAAGGAAACCCTGCATAAATTTTGGCATTACAAAAAAAAATTATTTCCAGACACGTCTGAACCGCCTAAAATGTGACCGTAAAGAAGAACAAGTCGCTACCGAAGAGCGCGTCCGTTTCCGCAGGGCGCTCTGCTCCAAAATGATCAAACGGATACCCGCCCTCATTCATGAAGACTTGGTGTCCACCGCGCTCGCGAAAACGACCGCCATCTGCGGCAAGGAGATTGAACTGTCCGAATTTCTCATCAGTTCGTACCGCCCGCTGGACCTCTTCCTGGACCACGTGGTCCTTGAGGAGTCCGAGCTGCACGCGCTACGATGCAACCGAAGCGACCGTTTGGCGCAGGAGAAAGCGCGGAAAGAAAGTTTAGACCGGTTAACGAGCGGTCTGCTGGATAAGCGGAGTCAACGCGTGGAGGATGAACGGTCCGAAAAAGAGATGGCGCTACTTCTTAACATTATTAATCATCAGTTGAACATGATGATCCGTTTGGTCACGCGGATTGGGGATTACAGGTTAATTATTAATTGGTCAAGATAATTAATTAATTAATTAATTAAGATTATTTAATATGATAAGGGCAATGATAAGGTGTTTTTACGCTTCAAAATATGTATATTGTTGTGTTATAAAATAGGTCAAGATTTGCGTAATTTTTAGTATATATTTCTTAATAATATTGAGGCTGCTCTCCAGGAGTTTTTTGAAAAGATATTTACAATGCAAAATATGCGATTTTTTTTACAAATCCTTCTACATTTAATATTTGCATAGTCCAAAGTTTTGGTGGTTCAGTTCTTAAACTTATTGGTCCAAAATATCGAAATTTGGCGAATTGTAAAGTTTACACATTCAATGAAATTCAATCTTGAATATTCTGAATTTTTGTGCAGATCGGGGATTTTTTAGATTTGATAAACCTAAACTTATTTAGTAAATTTGGAAATGGAAATTTGTAGATTTTATAAATTTCGTGAATCTTATGAATAGTGATGGTAATCCGTAACCGATCCTATCCTAGGATCGTAAAAACTCGGATAGGATCGGATTTTCACACGGATCGGATAGAGGATCCGAGGATCAGACAATCCGATCCGATCCGAACCGATGAAATCCTAGGATCGCACAGGATCCTCGGATCATCCGATGTAAACTCGTTTCACATTTGGTGAGTTCATCACATGGCGTACATTATCCGAATGAGCCGAATTATCCTATTATTTAACACCAGTTATTTTTATTTCGGCCTTTAAATTATTCAATTTCGTATGATTTCAACGCCAAAATGAAAATAACTGGTGTAAAATAATAGAATAAATCGGCTCATTCGGGTAATGTACGCCATGTGATGAACTCACCAAAAACCGTTCCAATAAATAAAGAAAAGCAGCTGGTAAAGTATTTCCATAGTTAGACACAAGGTGTCTCACACATATCAAGCGAATCTTGGATCATCCGCGGATATCCTACGATCGATCCGATCCTAGGATCGGATCGCATCGGATTTCGAGTAGAACCGGGAGCCGATCCGATCCTGAAGCGAGCAAATCCGATCCGATCCGATCCTGTATTTATCCGATCCTATCCTACGGATCGGTTAATTTAGGATACGGATTACCATCCCTACTTATGAATTTTGCAGACTCTGAAAATTTCGCGAATGTTATAGATTTTTATAAATTTTATACATTTAATCTTTAATTTTTGTGAGTACTGTAAAAAGTATTAGGGATTTTGAAGATTTTCCTTTGCGAATTTCGGAATGTTGCAATTTAATGAATTTAGCAAAACAATTGCATCGCCAGTCCTATAGTTAACTGAAAAATTACTTAACTAACTGCCTAATTAATTCCCCCCAGACAAATGACCGGCGAGGACCCGTCCCCCGAGCAAATTGCCGAGTGGAAATCCTGGCTCTTACTCGGCCTCGAAACCCCACCCGAGCCCGTGAAGGAAGTCGTCTCCTCGGAAAGCGAAGAATTCGAGTTCAACCTCGCCGACATGAATTGTCGCATCGTCCTCAGCGAAAATCCCATCCCGACCGAACTCCGGCCACGCCAAAGTGTTCCAAAACCCACGCCCAGTCTGATTCCGCGCCCTTCCGAGCAAGACCCCAGATTCTCGCATGACCCGTCAAATACAAGACTCGGACAGCAAGAAACGACGACGCCACAAGAGGAAGTGAAGAAGTCGAGTTCCGTGTTGTCCATGAAAGCGGGGTCGTCACCGCAGACACGTGCTTCCAAAAAGGAACCGAGGAAAACCCCCTCGTCGCAGGAGAACAAGCAGCAAACGGCCTCCCCACAGGATAAAAAGGCTGCTTTAAGCAAGAGGAGAAAGTCGCGAGTGTTGTAAATTCTATGCAAATTTTTGCACATTTTATTCGTGAGTGCAATTTAATAACGAAAATTTTGCATAAGAATCCATAACATGCGAATTTGCATATTTATTCATCTGTAAATTAAAGAAGATGAGAAAGCTTAGAAATTTTGTAAACTTTTCGCATTTTATTCGCATATACATAATTCACGTTCAATTTTATGCAACTAGATTCTTGTACATACAATCGTTTTCTTCCATTTAATATGCAAATCAAGAATTTTTTACTGATCGGTCACACCTGCATTTTTGTCTGTGAATTTACTACCTCTTTTTCCACTTAATTAGCTCTTGTCTCACATTCGTCACGCTGTACATAAATACTTATTCAGTTGGCAGAGACGTGCCATGAATTTATTTTCTGAAGACTTCAACCACCACCAGTGGCCGCGGAAGCCGTGGGGACATCGGGGGACGTCAACATTGTAGGATGGGGGGGAAGGAGGGGTTTATATAACATGGGCAGATGATGCGGACTTCGAACAACCATGGGGGCATTATCCCTCTGTCCCCACCCACGCTTCCGCGGCCAGTGACCACCACACTGTCGATTGGATTGAATGCATGCGGTTAATAATAGCTACACAACAATTAATAAGGAGTAAAATAATAATGACTCATAAAGAGCAAAAGTCCAGTCGATTGTAAGTTTGCAGTTGCTGAGAAATGAAATCGTAGTCAGTCATCGTCATCATCCCGCAAATTCTATAGAATGCGAAATGGGTTATCGCGAAAACTAAAGAGTTATCTCATCCCTCGTAAAACAAAGAAGTGCAAATTATATAATGGCACACATCCTCTCGTCGTATTTGCATGCATACATCTACTCCTCCTGCTGCTGGACATTTTAGCAAATATTTGCCCACAGCAAACACTACCTCGTTATTTATTTTTCTTGCTAATTCATCATATTTACACCATGAGGATGCTAATCCTAAGAAAATGTGCAAAAATTATAGTGGTCATTTCTTTCAGTATTTAAGCCACCAGGGTACCATTCGAGTCGGGCAGTTGTTAAAATTCCGAGGTCAGAGCAGCACCAGCAGCAGAATTATTTGCACATTATATTATTGCAAAAATTATAAATAGTCATGCAAATTTTTGCCATTTTTCTCGTCGTGGTGGTGGTGGCGTCAAATTGTAACGCGGCCGGCGTTCTGGACAACTTTCTCCCCGCGATGTTGTACCCGGTCCAGGGAGGAACAAAGAACCCGAACGCCTGCGCGTTTAACGGACCCCAAGACACGCCCACCCTGAGGGGGCAGAATTTCCTGGAAAATTTCGGAACTCGGAGTTGCCTCACGTTCAGAAGAAGCCAACCCAAGCTTCCAGTTAATATGGGGGTCTGTTCTTGGAAGTAAGTTGAATTGCATAAATTAACGATTTTGCATTATTTATTATTCAATAATTAACATAGGACTTGATAACTCATCACCAATAACGGAAAAATTGACACATTTTTAATCATTTCTCTGCTCTGGGAACTTATTTTAAAATTCTGGACGACAAATTTGCCGTCAGTGAGTTGATTATTGGAATAGCGTTGAGTTTTTTGAGCCAGTTTCGACTAGTTCCAATTTTTCTGAAGGCTTCTTAAACTTGAGATCTCCTCCTTCAAAAAGGGTCAAAATCTGGAGTGTATATTTTCAAAAATTGGAAACTCCCTGCTCTACAAATTTGTCCGTCAGAATTTTAAAATAAATTCCCAGAGGCGAGAAATGACTAAAAATATGTGGATTTTGACAATTTTGGTATTAAATCTCATCACGTGATGAGTTACGTTAACGATTTTGCATTAATTTACATATTCAATCCTTCCTTCACAGCTCGTTACCCACGTCCAACCAACTGTTCAACTTTAACAATGGGAATGGTGGCTCAATCGTGAAGACCGTTGTTTCCGGCGTGTTTGGGGCGGACACGTGTCTCTCAGCGACCCAGTTTGGGGGTCAGTTGCAAGCCGAGCGGTGTTCCGTGACGGGGAAGGATTTCAGTCAGACGTGGCGATTCACCCGTGTCCGGCAGAACGTGTATCAGATGACGCACGTGGGGCAAAGCAAGTGTTTGCGGGTGGACAGCACGCGGGTGGGTGCGGTACCGAGTCTCGTGCGGTGCAATACCTTCGATAACTTCCAGTTGTGGAGGATTTGCACTTCAAAATAAAAAAATTGCGTGTAATATTTTGGCGAAAATAAAAACCTTGGTTGGATGGATTACCATTTCAAATATTTGCATATTTATATAATTTGAATTCAAAATTTAATACATAAAATTAAATCGGTATGAATAAAATATTTTTAAAAACCTGATAATAAGTAAATCAGTCCATATTATTAATCTAGATTAATTAATCCCTAATCTTTAATCCGCAGCTGTGTAGGTTGTGCACTTCACGATTAAAACTTAATATTTTTACGAAAATTAAAATTTGCTTGGATTACCAGTTCAAATATTTGCATATTTGAATAATTTGAATTTAAAACTCAAACCTAATTCGGTATTAATAAAATATTTTTTTTAAACTAGAAAAATTTAAATTATTCCAAATTAATCTTATTATATAATAATAATAATAATAATAATTTATTCATGACAATTCTTACAAGGCTCATGGCCCATAGAATTCCAGGTTAGATTACATCGTAAAGAATTAAATAACAAATCAATAATACTACAATGACAATTATTTCCTTGCAAAATTATCCTGGGGGTTCTCGCTTAATAACATTCTACTAAATAAGGTTTGTGTATCTTAAAATACAGATTCTTAAACATTTGCATTATAACAAGAATAAGACAACTTGATTAAAACACAGTGATAGGGTACGAAAAATTCAATTAAAAATTAAAGTCATTGTTTGCAGGATTCAAGCACTAAAATCAAATACATAACCATCAGACATAATTAAATATCAAATTTATAAACGAAGAATAAGAGCATTATTATTCACAATTCGATCTCAACTAATTAGGTCCATACGAACGAATTCAATTGATCAAATTAAATAACTCATAGTGGTGGATTACTAAAATCAAACCATTAAATACTACGGCATAATTTATAAACGTAAAAAGTAAACAGTATTCACTGCTCCATGAACGATACTATTTTCAAGTCAGTTATTTTCAAGTCTGTAGATCCTCAAAATTAAATTCATAATTCCAAATTAAATTGCAATATTATTCACAATATCTACCGATTATGCTAATTCGTATAACAATAACTGCAAAAAGCAAACCATTAAATACTACACATAGCAAATCTCCGTTTCTAGTCCTCATAAAAAAATCATAAAACTCCAATTCTGAAATTATCCATTTTCACTAGGCAAGCATCTATTTCCCTCGTCAGTGATTTCATGTTGGCATCCATAATTGAAAGTATGTAGGCTACGCCGTCATCCGAAATTGGTTGGGATAATTTTGGGCTTCGTTTAACGTCTTTGAGATGTGGTCCTTCCAAGTAATGTGTATCGGGTTGATCGTCTTTTTCGGGTTGAACGTCTTTTTCTACAGGGGGCTGTCCACACTTGGCGTTGTCCAATTTCTCTGTCTTCTCCGTAGGTTTAGTTTGGGCTGTGACTGAATGGCTGAGGTCAATATAGGGTGAAATTCTAATTTCTTCGATGACTTGATTCCCATTCACGAAAAGGTCGGCGCCTCGGAAGTAGACCTTGTTTCCAATTTTTTTTTGCTCAAGGAATTCTGGTATTTGTCGTCTCTTCTTTGCACGTTCCTCTTTACTTAGGTCCTCCACAATTGAGATTTTGGCAGGGATGGCTTTCAACTTGTGGCAGTTTCTAAACACCATACTTTTTTGCTTGGTTGATGCCAATTTCACCAGCACCGATTTACCATTGGACAACGGACGGACATCTTTAACAGTGACATCCACTTCCAAACAATTGGAAAGAAAATCTGTCGTCTCCTCCATTGCAGTTTTGGCAGAATAATATTCACATCCATGAATTATGATGTTGTATTGTCGATCACAATTTGCATTTGGTTTGGTTTCATAACGAAGAATCGTTTTTGCATTCTTCTTCACTTGCTGCTCCAATCCGATAAACTTATTTATGAATCTGTCCAGTTCACTCTTAAAGTTGAACATTTGCTTCTTTATGTGGCTCAATTCTTCTGCGTGATTAACAAAACTACTTGATAAGAACTCGAGTTTCTCTTTCGCTGATTGTGCAAATTCTTGTAGATCGAGTTGCACATTGTCAAGTAACTGAATTTTGTGGGCGTTTTTACTTATATTATTCGTTGTGGGCTTATGCACAAGTGAATATTTCTGATTTTCCCTATTTTTCGAAGTGTAATGAATTTACAGCAGAAATTCTTATGTGGGGGTAATCGCGATTAATTTAGCTTTATAATGATATAACTTGATAAGTATGGCTTGTACTTTTACGTAGTGAAAAACTCAATTTAATGAGAGCTCAGAATAAACACGTCTGCTCGCTTCAATAACTAAACGAGACCATAATTAATCTTATTAATCTTGATTAATTAATCTTTAATCCGCATCAAGCAGATTAGTTAATCTAATTAATAATTAATTAGATTAACAATAATAATAATTAAGTAATTTAATCTAATTTAATCCAGTGTATATATGTAGCTGAAAGATAATCGCGACGACTACTGTTCATGTATCTCAAACCTTAATTTTTAATGTCGAAAATTATTAATTTCCAAATTTGGCATGAAAGTACACCATGAAAATATACAATTACATTAATCACATTACATAATTCAATTAGGTACCTACGTTAATTAATGAACTATTTATTATAATGTTTTCAAATCGCACTTTTGCATAGTAAAATTAAAAAAAAAAAATTGCATATTTAATTTATTTCAAAATTTACAAATTTGTGTTAAAAACTGAGCCAACAAATCAACTAGATTTTTTTTAATAAGGAAAAGTAAGTAATTCTGAATATTTTTCTATAATAAATAAATAAACCCATTGCAAACGAATACATAGAAGCAGCGTCAGAACGATTCAAATTTCCTTTAAAATCACACCATATATGCATTTTTGGCCTGCGACCTCGTCCTCACGGTCATAACGCCAAAAATATTGAATTCACGGTTAAATTGCCTTTAAAATGACATTCCATATGAAAATTAAGTTAAATTTAATTTTACACCAGACCCCTCGCGCTGTAGGGGGTGGTTGGATTAGCCCCATTTTCTAACCCGACTGACAATGAGAACTAAAAATTAGAAGCACAATGGAGAAAACGGGATTTAATTATGTTCCAAAGATATCCTGCTTACGTACGTACGGACGGACGGACAAAACGATCACAATAAGCAGCTAATGCTACTTAAAAATTACATCTTATTTACAATAAATTGCGACGCCCAGAACGCGCTGAATTTTTCGCATCTGCGCAACTGCCGCGTTAAATGTTGTTTCTAAAGAGCTTCTCTTTCAAACTAACATGGTCAAAAAATAATCCGGATTGAACATGGTTTGCGTTCCCATTGACGTCGCCGTAATGTCGCCCCCGGCGTCCTAATTTATCTCATAAAAATATTGATAAGGTAACTATAATAACACATAAATTTCCCGAAATTTTAAGCCCTCGTCTCAGCCATTAAATTTCTCAACGTGTCACATATTGCTTTTAAAACGCTAAAAACGACCAGCCCCCACTTTTTACATACTTCTTCTTCTTGACGATTAGTTCCTCCATTTCGGAGTTCTATGAATATAAATATGAACACAATTGGTAACACTCATACGACAGAGACGTACTACCCGAAAGCCTTGGCCCGCTTCTGCACCAAGTCCGTGACCGCGCTCACCCTGAAATCGATGGCGATGGAGGCGTCGCTGAAAATGCTGTCGACATCCGTGCTGGGGTCGGGAAAAGTGCGGGATGCTCGGGGAAAGAAAAATTTCAGGAACGTGTTGGATGAAAGTCTGCCGAGAGAGTTGCAGGTCGGGTTATAATCGGTGTAAACAAATAATTTGACAAAGCTGGGCCAAAAATTTTGAGGCGAAATCAAAATAGTGCATTTTGGATCAAAATACTGTATTTTGAGCCGCGTTCTTCCAACGCTTTAGATTTCTGGGGCTGTTGCACCCATAAAAAGAGGAGAATTTGCATTAAGAATGCAACTGTCACATGGAAATACGTGTTTTTTAAGAAATTAACTTTATATCCCGGTCAAATTAGTTTTCGGGAATTTTTCGAAAACTATATATTTTTAGAGGGATAAGAAGTTGATTTTGTCTCAAAACCAGTATTTTGGTATGACTGATGTATTCTTGATATATAGATTTCCGTCTTTTTGTGGGAGTAACAGCCCAGGAAATCTAAACCCTGGGGCTCAAAATACCGTATTTTGCCTACCCGCGAAAATTGTGTACACGTTTTTACCTACATCTGTCGTATTATCTAGTTTGCCCTTGTACGCAAAGCTGTCGAAAAATTCTTTGGAGCTGACCGGATGTTAAATTTGCTCGATATCTTCGAACCGAAGCGAATCATTCTTGACGCTGTGGACATGATTGGCAGCTTTCGCTACGCGTATGGCTGCTACTTCTGTGAAAACAAGCTCTACTGGTCGAATGGAACGATTGAACGGTTAAATCTCTCCGTCTTGCAGTGCGACCGTCTCTACCAGTACATTTCTTGGAGTGACGCATTAAAAAAGTACATAAAATATACAAATTAGTGAATGATGCCAAGTGTTTAGGGTGAAAGTAACCACGTACAAGAAATAAGGGAGGAAAGTGGTTGCTCGCAGGTGAATATTTTGACCTGCAAGAAATGCACGGAGCATGAAACGATGCCCTGCTGCTATGAATACTTCAGATGGCGCCGCATATTTCTTGCAGTTTCTTGCACCTCACATTTCTCACGTTGCTTACTTTATAATGCAAGAAATGTAGTAAACCCCCAAGAAACGAAACACTGGGTGAAAGTCACTGCTGACCACGTGTTTCGTGCACGTGCAAGTGAACACGTGCAAGAAATAACGGAAAGAAAGTGGTTTTTGCAGCTATTTTGACCTGCAAGAAATGCACGGCACAAGAAACGATACTTCCCCCCGCTATCATTCATACTTCGCGTCACGTTGCTAGATGGCGCCTATTTCTTGCAGTTTCTGGCACTTGCTTGCAATTTCTTGCTTTCCAGTGCAAGAAATGCTTGTAGCAAACCCGCAGAAAACGAAGCACTACAAAATTAACGAATGCGCTAAAAACTTGCTAATTTTTCTAGCCAATGTCTCCACACCGTGATCATGTCTACGGAACGTGGCGCTTTACGGACATCCATTCTCCCCAGCATTTTTGCCCGATCACCCTCCTTGACGAGAGTGACCCTTCTGAACGGGGCGACGAATCACGTCCTCCGAATTTTGGGGAGGAGTTGCCCCTCCCTCAAAATTCTGGATGTCTCGCACTCCACCGCGGTCAGCGACGCGGGTCTTGCCGGGCTTTTGTTGGCGGGCAGACAACACTCCTTTCCGAACATGACGGTCGCTCAGGCGAGGCTGATTTCCCCCGAGGAAAAAAATCCGTGTGCCGTGACGCTTTGCAAACTCGTTTTAATTGGAACGGACGTGTCGTCGGATGCGTTTAACTTGTCGTGCGTGCTGATGCAGGGATGTTATTATGTCGCGTTTCTACCCGATTTGATGATAGTTCGACCGTATGGGGCTTGTGAAAGTGACCCAGACCACTTAAAGGTTAGTGTTGCCGATAAGTTGTAAATGAGGTGAAGACAGGTTGAGCTTAAGGTTCCATTGCATGCGGGGGTCGAATTTAAATTTTTGTGTCTCAACTTTCCCTTCTTCTATGTATTCAAATGCGATTATGAAGTATGTTAATTTCTGTAGGTTTTTTTACAAAGACGATTGTATTGCGTCTAAAAATCGATAATTTTTAGTTTAACAAAGTTAGGTTAGAATTTTGATTAAATATTTTCTCATGTAAGGGAAAAATCAAAACTATAACCTCGTAACTTTGTGAACCTCAAACAGTTTGAGGTTCATAATCATTATTCAAACTTATCGATTTTTTGGATGTAATAAAATCTTCATTTTGTTACAAACGCAGGGTGATGAACATGTTTCAAAAGATGAAATACAAATAGTCACTAACTTGTGCAAACTTGAATTTTTAAGCATTTTTCGACTCCAAGACTTTGTGATGAAATGTTAAAATTCCAAAACGAAATAGAAAAATTGTAAATTGATAATTTTTGGGTCCACGACTCATTTACAGCTTGGTCTCAAAATTTTTTAAAAAATTACAAAATTTTGCATTTATTTGAAACTTGTACTTACAGGGGACCCATGTTTCCACCCGGATAGAAAATGAGACCTCTCTCGTACCCGTGTTTGGCCAGAGGGAAGACATTCTTCGCCAGGTGGGGCGGGTCATGGGGCGATTCGCCGAGAGGAGACGGGGGACTGAAGGGACTGGGCAGGTTTTAGAGCATCACGTCCTCCCACGTTATAGCGCGGACAGGGTCGCCTTCAATTTTGTGCGGGGAGTGGACTCCTATCTTGCCGAAGCGATGCTCATGACCGAATACACGAGGAAAAATCAAATCATTATTACGCGTATGAGAAATGTTTTAAAAAAAATTGAGGGCAAAATAAGTCGTCAAAATATTTAGTATTTTGAGCTCTGTTCTTCCCAGGGATTGGATTTCCGGGGCTGTTACACCCACAAAAAAAGACAACAATCTGCGTGGAGAAGGAAATATTCATGTGAAAATACAGATTTTGCGAAGAACTTAACTTTTAATCGCGGTGTCAAAATACATTGTTGTCACAATTGTAAAAAATACGGTGTTTTGACAGCGATAAAATGCTAATTTCTGCACAAAACCTGTATTCCTGTATTTTCGTATGACTGTTACATTCTCCACGTAGATTTGCGTATTTTTGTGGGTGTAACAGTCCTGGAAATCCAAACCTGTGGAAGAACAGAGCTCGTAATTTTGACCCAGTATTTTGCCCACCTCTCGGAAAAATACATAAATTGACATAGTTTTTCACGGTATTTTTAGAGTTGATCTTGTTCTGGGACTCTTTCACCTGGTCGGTCACTGGTCTCCCGGATTTGGGCGAGTTGGGGGTATGGCTCCCAAACCTCGTCGTACTCAAGGCACGCCTCCAAGGCAGATGGGACCGGTCTGAACCACTCTTTCCGAACTTGAGGGAAACGTACATTTGGACTGTGACCGATAACACGGTGCTCTCCTTTTTGCGAAGCTCGCCTAAAATTGAGCTACTAAAGTTCAACTGTTTAGATCTCATGAGGTAAATATTTGGAAAAAGATGAAGTGTTTCGTTTCCTGTGGGGTTGTTACTTTTCTTGGACTACAAAGCAAGCAATTGAATGCATGAAACTGGAAGAAAGTGCAAGAAATATGCTTTATATATCTAGCCACGTGCCGTATGCATACCTGTTAAAAAATTGAGTTTTCATTCAAAATTCAGTCATCCCGATTTCTGACTGGCGATTTTTATATTTACATTCAGTCATTTTCATTCAAATTCATTTCATTTCACTTCATCGGACTTCATTTGTTACTTCGCCCCACAATGAAGGAGTAAAAAAACCTTTCATTCACAGTCATTCATCTGAAACGACGGGATCTTTCGGTCATTTGTATTTAATTGATAGGAAATTCATTCTCATTCACCATCACAATCACTCAAATGAATGAAAGTGAACAGGTATGAAGTATTTACAGCGACGGGCGTAGTTTATTGCACCTTGCATTTCTCACAGGTCAAAATATTACCCTGCACGAAACCACTTTCTTCCCGTTATTTCTTGCAACTGGTTACTTTCACCTGAAACATTTCATAATTTTATTTCATAATTTTCATAATAAAAATTTACTTCATTTTTTTCATGCAGAACGCACGATGGGCGGTCTGAACGCCTAGACGACACTTCTTTCGCTCGAGCCCTCATATCAAATCCGACTCTGCTCAGATCTCTGAACGAAGTTTGTATCCGCCCAGCATCAAATTTGCACATCTGTTCGGCACGTTTCATTCTGCGGAGGGCGAAGCGGTTAAGGAGGTTGGGCGACATGGAATCGTGGCGCGTTACGCCGGCAGAAATAAGGCAGCTTAACGAAGAATTGGATAAGATAAATTCAAAATGTATTCTTACCGTTTTGTCCTTTCCGCCCAAGGAGACGCATCAGTACCTCATTTGACATCTTATAAAAGAAGAATATCATCGTTAGAAATTTTGAAAAACAAGTTTTAGAAAAATTAGACTAAAAAGTAAGTCGTCGTATTTTGGTCATGTTCACAGATAGAATTTGTTATTTGGCCTTAACGTAACACATATCGTTAAAATTAGGACATTTTTGATCATTTTTCGCCTCTGGGAATTTATTTTAAAATTCTGAACCACAAATTTGTAGGGCGTAGGTAGTTCCCAATTAAAAAAAAATATACACTCCAGATTTTGACACTTTTTGAAGGAGGAGATCTCAAGGTTAAGAAGCCTTCAGAAAAATTGGAACTTGTCGAAACTGGGTTAAAAAACTCAGCGTCATTCCATTAATCAACTCACTGACGGCAAATTTGTTGTTCAGAATTTTAAAATAAGTTCCCAGCGGCGAAAAATGATTAAAAATGTGACAATTTTGGCGATGAGTCTGAAACCCAACGCCAAAAGCTGTCTTAAGGTCATCTCTCTAACTAAACATTTTAATGACTGGAAAACGGTTTTATTGACACTTCCACTCAATATCATTATCCGTTTTAACAGAACTTATCAATATTTCCATTAATAGATAAGCTTTCCAAGTGTACTGATAAAATTTGAAGACAAAATCCGTGAAAATGATCAAACTACGAAGACGCAACCTTTAACGGAGACAATGACGATCGAGAGAGATCTAATGATTACCTGCACTAGCGTAAATGTCATTAATCAATCAGAATTAAGTCTAGTCAAACGTATATTAATACTCAAAAAAAGTGATCGTGTTATAAACTGTGATGAAAAATAAAGATTTTCATATTTTTGAGAAACATGTGGCTCAAAAAGAGGGGTTTTAATTTGCAAAATTAATTTGGACATAATTAGAAAATAACAAGTGAAGTACTAGAGGTATGTACGAGTAATTAATTCATATTTGATAGTATAAATTCTAAATAAGTTGAATATTTCGTTGTATATAAATAATAATACATATCGTGTCGATTACTTTGAATTGATGGATTGAGAAGTTTTACAAGATTTTGAACACTTCTTTTCGGATAAGCGTATTTTCGTATCAACAGTTTTAACGGTATATAATTCATGTAGACTTGATAAGTTATCTCTCAAATCATCAAAATCAACACATTTCGCACCTCTGAGAACCTATTTTCAAATTCTGAATGACGTTGAGTTTTTTGAGCAAGTTTCGATAAGCTCCAATTTTTCTTAAGGCTTCTTAAATTTGAGATCTCCTCCTTCAAAAACTCAAAATTTGGAGTGTATATTTTAAAAAATAGGGAACTACCTGCTCTACAAGTTTATCGTCCAGAATTTTTTTACATAAATTCCCATGGCCGAGAAATGATTAAAAATGTGTGCTGATTTTGACGTCAAGGAGTCCTATTAAATATGTTAAACACATGCATTTTGTAAATGTATCAAATACTTTATCAAATATACGATTAATAGTTTTTATTAACCCGTATGCACCACCAGTGTCAGGTTTTAAATAGTATTATTATGCCCGAACGACGACTGGATTTAAAATCTAATATAATAAATAATTAATTACTTAACAAAATAATGATAATGAAGATAACTAATTCCTACAAGTGGACGATCGATTGTACTAAATATACTTATGTAGGCACTTAAACGTACAAAAACTGTCTGCAGTTGGCCGCACCACAGAGGCACCTTTGCGTTCTTTGTTTTCCAGATTTACTGGGAGATTGTGGGGATTTATCGCTGGATGAGGAGGTGGCCTTTTCCTCTTCGTCGTCGTCCTTTGTGGTATCTTCGTCCACTTCCTCGCGGGATGATTGATTTAAATAGTCAAAGCTTAGTTCTTCACCCTGAAATAGAAGTTAAATTTTAGGATTTGCTTGTCAAAAATATAAAAATAATCTAACCCTTTCAATTTTTCGAAGAGTAAACATTGCCAATTTGGGCATATGGATGTCCAAGCAGTCGACAAATACGGTGTAGACGCCTAAATTGGGGTCACAACTGTGGTTGATGAAATGAGATACGTTTCCCTTCCGTGAAGCGTCGACAGTGTAGACGGGTTTGTTCAGATTCACAAAGTCCAGGTCGAAAAGGTACGGTTGGATGTTGGGGTCTTCTTTTGATCGTCGTTCAGCTTCTTCGGATAAGATAAGTTCGCCGACATAGAGGCAAACGAAAGATCCCTTTTTGATTGACTGGAAAAGGGTGAAAGCGAAATTATTAGAGATGTGCAAAATTCTTTGTCAAACAAAATACAGTATTTTGAGCTCAGTTCTTTTCTTCCCAGGGTTTAGATTTCCAGGGGTGTTACACCCAGAAATTGACGAGAATCTACATACGTGGAGCAAGCAGCAGTCGTACGAAAATACAGGTTTTGTGAAGAAATTAACTTTTTGTCGCGGTCAAAATATATTATTTTCATGATTCTTTTAAATATAGTATTCTGAAAGCGATAAAAAGTTAATTTCTTCACAAAACATGTATTTAATTGTGACTGTTGCATTCTCCACTTGCAGATTTTGGTTTTTGTGGGTGTAACGCCCCTGAAAATCCAAACCATGGGAAGAACTGAGCTCAAAATACTGACAAAGTATTTTGTCATTTCCCGGAAACTAGTACAAACTCAGGAATTATTTAAATTTAGTCTTTATCTTTCCTACCTTTAAAGCCTTCACACCCCAACCACAGCCATTGTCTGTTCGAAATATACATAAGTTAACTTCATCAGTGCTCCCGTCTTGAACCACTCGATTGACACAGTCTGGGCCACAATTGCACTTTGAATTACATTCCCAAATTGGTGATCCGATTGGGAGATCAACTCTGTAAATGGCACAATTGTAAATATTTTCTAACAACAAAAAACAAAGGGATGGAAATATTTATCATTCCGACTTTTCTTTGACCTACTTTTTGAAGCGATTGTAAGCGAATCTGCCATTGGATAATTTGGCACAGCAACTCTTCTTGTTATCGTAACACGACGACCCTTCACCTGAACAGCATTCGCACCAAAGTGGAGGATCATCCGGAATTATTATCCCCTCTGCGGGAATGTAGCTCGATACATAGCTAAAATTCCCTGGTGGTCCTTCAAAATCAACGTCGTTTTCCACCTTGATCACAGGTTTGCGCTGAGTAACGTTATTAATAGTCTTCTCCCATGCCTGTAAAAAATAAAATAAAAAACGGTTGGAATTACAATTATTTAATTATTAAACCAGTAATTAATGATGCCAAAAATCGTAAAAACCAGCATATTTTAAATCATTTTTCTGCTCTGGGTGTTTATTTTAAAATTCTGGACGACAAATTTGCAGTTTCTAATTTTTTTAAATATACACTCCAGATTTTGACACTTTTTGAAGGAGATCTCAAGTTTAAGAAACCTTCAGAAAAATTGCAACTCGTCGAAACTGTCTGAAAAAACTCAGTGCCATTCCATTAATCATCTCACTGACTACAAATTCGTCCTTCAGAAATTTATAATAAATTTCCAGACCGGAGAAATTAATAAAAATGTGCTGATTTTGGCAATGAGTCATCGAGGTTAATATTTTTTTTGCAATTTTGCGCACCCCAAGCTTCTTATCCATTAATTCTCTGTGTTTCTCAGCCTCCACGTAGTAAAGTTCTTTTCTGAATTCTGCTTCATGTTTTTTGGACAGCTTGCCGTCCGCACCGTCCATCAAAAATTTGTTGACTTTGTGCTTTGACCACTTATTCCGCTTTGTGTTTGCTTTCCTGTTCTTGTTCCACCAGACATATTTTTCCTGTGGATTTATTAAATATAAATTTGGTAATTTTAATTAATTTGCAAGTTTTAGTGGAAAACTAGGAAACTTTTTGTACTGTCAAAATCTAGAATGCTATTCATTCAGTATCAAGATATGCGTAGAAAAAGATGGAAAATTGTCGTCAAATGTCGTAATTTTAATTAAACTTAATTGATCACTGAACTACTGAGGTCCTGATCCTCAAAACTTGAACTTACCAAAAGCTTTACATCGCAGAGTGGCTTCGTGGCGCTATAAAAGGAATCAAGACGTTCTTGAAGGGGTCTGGGATCGGGGGGAATTTTCCAAATTTCCGGACTTTTTGCGCTCTTTCGCCGCTTGCCATTCGGTAATTCAATATAAACTTGACTAGCAACTTGAGCCTCAACTTCCGCTTTGCGTTTAATGAAAAATCTGGCAAAACAATTACAATCAAATATCAACATTACAAATAAATGCATGTAAATTAATTATTATGGGTTATTTACCGGTAGAGCACATCAAAACAAGTAGTCACATTTTCCGCAGGTTCCCAAGTATTAAAATCTTCACTCCAATCTTTCCACTTGACGTAATACATTTCTCCGGCGCCGTGAGATTCATTAACGTAGTCCAAAATTTCCTCAATTTCGTACACGCCGTCTTCGCCCTCTTCTTCCGTCGTTCCCTCCTCTGTGGTTCCTTCCTCCGTTTCTTCGTCTTTTTCTCCTTTTCCATTTGATAGTGGACTTTCGCCAGCTTCTGGGGAACTGAAAAAAAAACGATTAAAAACTGACAATTTCTTCTAAAAAATTACTTTCACTCTATTCATTTCAAACTATTCATCTCAACTGTCAAGTTATGTTTCAATTTTTAACTTTTAAAATTATGAATTATGATTATGAATTGAAATTTTTAAAATTATAAATGAAAAACTTACGGGGACGATGGGTTCTTTTTCTTTTCTACGAAAAGGTCATCATCATGTTCCTCGTCTTCCTCGCCGTCGTCTTTGTCGTCACCTTTTTTGACCCCGTTTCCGTTGCTGCACGACTGTGACGATGAACCTTGACTATCAATTACCTCCGCGTCCACCTCCTCGTCATCTCGTCGTGGTGGTGGACAATCTTCTAAATCCACCACTTCCACGTCCCCTTCAACCGGAGGGGGTGAGGAAACCACTTTGAACAACTTTTTCTTCGACTTCGGCCCGGGTTTGTACCTCATCGTTGTCGTCGTCGTCGCCTTGCTACTTGATGGACCTTGACCTGACCGTGTGCGAGACTTGGCCTCACCACTACCGGAGGGGGGAGCTGCAGGTGACATGTCAAAGGTCACAGACGGGAAGGGAGAGTGGAGGGAGGAGACGTTTGACAGACGAAAACTGCAGAACAGAGATCAGCACCAATTTTTATTTACTATCGACCTGTGCAATTGTAGAACAATGTCGAATGTTAAAGGTCAAAGGTGAGGGGAGGGGACGTTCGAAAAACGAAAATTAAGGCGAGGAGGGGGAGGAGACGTCTGACAAACGAAAACTTCAGAACATAGATCACCACCAATTTTTATTACCTTGCAACTGCAGTGCCTGGAGAACAAGGTCAAAGGTCAAAAGTCGCCGGGGGAGGAGAGGACACGTTCGAAAAACGAAAATTTAAGAGCAGATAAGCCCCAATTTTTTTTATTTAGTGTCGTTTTATTTGCCTGACCGGAGAACAATGCAAGGCTGACTGGCTGATTTTTTGGTGGTGGTGGTGGTACGTGCTCCCGGCACTAAATCCTAAACCCGCTCTCACTTGTTGCATTGCCCTCTCAAAAAGTCAAGTCAACTGTGCAATCTAAAATCTAAAATAAACATTTTTTTAGGTTCAACTTTTATTTTTACTTTCAAAATCCGACAACAAAACAAGGACTTATTTATTTATTTACCTTTATTTAGTTGCGGTTACTAATGTATGACGATGGGGTGTCGTTTTTTTTATTTTTGTTTTTGCCGACCGACCGACCTTCCGTTATTTATGGAAATTTGACACCTTTTTTCTTCCATTTAAAAGTTAATGGCAGCTGGCCTGGCTCGTAAAATATGTAATGAATGAATCGTTAAGTTAAGTTAAATGTGATGCTGTAATTGTAATTGGAGACGGTATGTTGTGAAGGTTTGAAGTTGAAATGGACAAAGAAAGAGCGATGTATATGAGTCATATTTATGTATAGTTTTTGTATTTAACAAAGTTATTTATTGTGGCTGGAATTGGAATTTAGCTAGGAAATAAAATATGATGGATTGTAACTTTGTTAAAATGAAATGATTATAAATACAAGAGATAAGGGCACAATTTCATACATACATTCAACATTGTTTGAGTGGCATATTTTAATGGGTTCTGGACAGGAAGTCATTTAGCAGGAAAGAGAGAGAAATGTGAGACTTTATAATATGAAAATGTACATAATTTATATTTACAATTTGTGTGATAAATCTCATATGAAAATAAATATACCAAAATTCTGTATTCAATAAACAAAAATTTCGATTTTTTTTTACCTCGTCCAATTTCTTTTCGTAAATTATCAAGAAGAAGATTTTGTCACCGTGAAATCGAAGAATTTCCCTTTTCCTCAATTACAAAGGTAAAATTGATAATTTTACAATTCAAATTCGAGAATTTGTATTGTTTATGAGAAACATTCCGATCTATTTTATCAATTTCAAATATGATAAATCATTTTATTACACCAAAAGTCGGTTTAGTCATGCAAAAGTGATTTTCTCAATTTCCCGTCGCATACAAATACATACAGAAATTTTTGTTAAAAATGCATGAAAGACATGCTTACTTATTTCTCTGGTCGAGTACATTTTACATTAGCATTTTTTATATGTAAAACTTTATAGTGATGTTTACAGTGTAGTAAGAAGAAAAACGGGTTTGTAAATACATAATTCTGAATTATATAAATACACAAAACAGGGAACATTTCCAGTTTTGGATTCTTCTGTCCAGCAAAAAAGACGGAATAAATGGACAACTTTTTCAGGATGAGTATGCACAGTGGCCGCGGAAGCGTGTGGACAATGTCCCCACGGTTATTCGATGCTATCATCATATATAAACCCCTCCCTCCCCTATCCTACAATTTTAATGTCCCCAGATATCCCCACACGGCCCCTGATTATGTATGTATATGCATTTATTATGCACATGCCGGCTTATTTTATACTTGGACCACGATGATGATGACCTTGGTTAACTTTTACAAGAAGAAATTCACTTCCAGAAGAACATTATACGCTAGCAAATACATTGTATGTGTATGAATATGAATGTAACATGAAGATTGTACACACACTCTTCAGTTTATTGCTGGACTGGACTAATGACATTGATAAATCCTCAAGTTTGTAATGTACTGGATGGCTGGGTTGGATTCAGTGGCCGCGGAAGCCGGGGGGACATTAACATTGTAGGATGGGGGAATGGAGGGATTTGTATAAGATGGGCAGATGCTGGGGACATCGAACATCCGTGGGGACATTGTCCCTCTGTCCCCACCCACGCTTCCGCGGCCAGGCTGGATTATGTTATTATGCAAGTAAAAACATTTACATGTGAGACACACGCTTGCTGATAAATATGAGAAGAAGAGATCACAAAATCAGAAAGTTCGAGACTCCAGACTGGATTTAAACCACTCGGCAACAAGTCTCGTTCTCATTCAGTTCTCGAGATCACAGTTAAAAATTTAATTAAATCGAGAAGGGAGTTAACTAATTCGTCATGAAACTTTTCATATTTTTTGGACTATTGTTCTTACTTGGAAATTACTTCGAGACTGGAAGTTGTGACGATGGGGAGAGTGACGAAGAGGAAAATCTCGACACTGTGACCGTTGAGCAAGGAGGGCTGCAAGGGACGCGTTTCACGTCAAGGAGAAATAGGACGTATTATGGATTTCTGGGGGTGCCTTTTGGAAAAGTGGGGGAGAGATTTGCGGTAAGAGGGGTTTAACAAAGGGCGGATATGTATTTATGAAAATAGACGCTAATATAGACGAAATATGTTCCCAAAAAACATAAGATGAGTTTGTATTTCTGAATTTAATGCTCTGAATTTTTTGCAATCTTCTTTGTTCTTCAAACAAAATTTCGTCTCATATGTATCGTTCAAATATTTGTAAAATGATCGTATTTTTGAAAAAATATGCAAAAGATTCCCATGTTTTTCAAATAGTAGGGGAAATATTTATAAATATTTCTGAAAACCTAGAAATATGTTCCAATATGTAAAAATATTTGGAAATTTTTACCATCTTTTCAAGCTACGGAACACACCCACAAAGTTTGACAGTCGGTCGGCATCAAATTAAAAACTTTAATAGATGTACTTTTACGCTAATAAGTACAATTCCTACGTTAATTAAGAGGATTAATATAGAATATAAGGAAAAAGATGCAATATTTAGCCTTAAACTTGAAACCATGTCTAATTGAGTGTAATAAAATATCGATTTAGTTCATTTTATATAGTTTTACTCATCATTACTCGTATCGTTTGTTCATACATGTAAAACAGTATAATAAAACTTAATAACAATAATAATAGTAGAAATACATATCCGCCCTCTTTTAATTAACGATTAATTTAATTTTGAAGACAAGTTTAAATTAATTATAATTAATTAATTAATCACAGAACGCAGAAAAGGCGGATAGTTGGGATGGCGTAAAAGCGGTCAAAACCCTGCCACCCCCATGCTTCCAGTACTTCAGCTTCACCCATCAAATGGTCGGGGTGGAAGATTGTCTTCAACTCAATGTCTACTCGCCAAAGCCGAAGGTTAATTAAGTCGTCAATTAGTTAAGATTTATTTGCATATTAATTAAAATAATAATAATTAGTTAATTATTTATGTATGGATGACAGAGAGGAGAGCAAATGCCCGTTATGTTCTTCATTTCACCGGGGGGATTTCAAATGGGGGGAGCGTCACATTTTGAAGCGGAATACATCATGGATCAAGACGTGGTATTTGTTTCGATTAATTTTCGTATGGGGGCGTTAGGTAAGTTGGTTAATTGGCGTACTTATAATTAATTAATCAATTAATTAATGATTGATGTTGATGTAATTTAAAAATATTTTTTGATTGTTTTAGGTTTCTTAAATTCTGGGGACGGAACGGTGACCGGAAATATGGGGCTGAGGGATCAAGTCTTGGCGTTGGAATGGGTAGGAATTTTGACATTTTTAAGCAAATTAATGCAAATTAATACAAATTAGAGACTAAAAATAACACTGTCTGGTTCAACTACAGGTCAAGAAAAATATCAAAAACTTTGGAGGTGACTCGACCAAAGTGACAATTTGGGGGTTAAGTGCAGGTGGAGCTGCGGTCGATTATTTGACAATTTCTCCAATGGCGAAAGGTAATAATAATCTAATTACACTAATTACTTAAAGATTATCTTCGTGTGTATGTAACGGACAATGGAGGTCTCCCAACGTATGCGCTCCTATTTTGAGCAAATTAGTTTCAATCGATCATGAATTTAATTAGGATGGAAGTTGCGAAAGACGTGATCTCCAAATGGGGACGTTTGGCGCAGATATTTGCATCCGAAGAGGAGAAAACGCGCCATAAAGTTGACAAATTTTACATTTTCCAAATTTACTGGGCATTTTCTCCTCTTCGGATGCAAATATCTCTGTCAAACGTGTCCATTGGGAGGTCGTGTCTTTCGCAAATTTCACTCTAATTAAATTTGTGATCGATTAAGATTAATTTACTCAAAATCGGAGAGCATACGCTGGGAGACCTCCATTTTTAGTTCTAAAAAATTTTTTCCCTTAAAATTGAAGGTCTCTTCCATCGAGCCATCGCCATGAGTGGGTCGTCCCTCAATCCCTGGGCTTTCCAGCCACATGCGACCGAAATTGCGGAACAATTGGCAACCAATGCGGGATGCGGTGACCACCCAAATTGGCCAGAGAAGGTTAAGTGCCTCCGACAAAAGGTGCCAAGTGAGGTTGTGAACGCGCAGCTTAAACTGATGGTAAAAAAATACATATTAACGAATGTAGGACTTGTCGCCAAAATCGTCACATTTCTCGGCTATGGGAACTTATTTTAAAATTCTGGACGACAAATTTGTGGAACTGTAGTCGTTCCCAATTTTTAAAAAATATACACTCCAGATTTTGACACTTTTTGAAGGAGATCTCAAGTTTAAGAAGCCTTCAGAAAAATTGGAACTCGTCGAAACTGGCTGAAAAAACTCAACGCCATTCCATCGATCAACTCACTGACTACAAATTTGTCGTCCAGAATTATAAAATAAATTCCCAGAGAGAGAAATGACTAAAAATGTGCAGATTTTCGTTTAACTATTTTGGGGAAGAGTCACTGAGTCTCACAATTTGTTGGTCACAAAATTTTTGTGACAAAACGGATCAATCTAGGATAAAATAATTAAATATTTAATTTCTTCAGAAACATGGTTTCGACTTCGAATTCCTCCCAATGAAATTTGTCCCCTCCGTTGAATCCGACAAGGTGCAAGGGCCTCGATTCCTTTCCGATACTCCGTACAATCTCCTCTCCAAGGGTGAAATTGTCAGTAAGGTGCCATACATGACGGGTCACGTGGAAAATGAGGGGGCATTCTTCGTCGCCACAAGTAATTTTTTGAAATATGTATTTAAAATATACTGAATAATTACCAGATGGGGGATATATATTTATTTTCAACTTTTTCATTTGATCCCGACCAACGGTCAAACTTTGTGGGGTGTGTTCCATAACTCGTATAGATTACAAAAATTCTAAAATATTTTTAAATATTGGAACATATTTGTAGGTTTCAGAAATATAAATATTTCCGTTATTATTTGAAAAATACGGAAATCTTGTCCATATTTTTAAAAAATACGTACATATATTTTGTAAATATTTCAACGATATGAGACGAATTTTTTTGCTTAAGGAAATTGAACCACAAAAAATCCAAAATTTCTGAAAATGCTTATTTCAAGAGCTTTTTGTACATACATATGTCGTAAATATTTTTGACGTTTTTCAATAATATTTTGACATTTTTTTTTGCCAATATTAAATACATATTTCCACGATTTTTCATGAATTCATATCCGCCCTCTGACAATTAATTAAATAACTAACACTAACAAAATTTCGTCTATTTAGTCGTGAACAGCGAGAAACTCATGAAAGAATTGGACACCAAGTGGATCTCGATGACGCCGCCGCTCTTCTTTTTCGACGACTTGGTGACGCCCACCCTGCAAGGAGGCGTTTCGAAGGCGATCCGCGACTTTTACTTGGGGGGACGACCCTTCGATCAAGCAACGCGGAAAGGATTCACGGACATCTATTCGGACAGACTTTTCAACAACGGGATCGCCAAAGGGATCCAGCTAAGGGCCGATCATCAACCGGTCTACTCGTACTTGGTGGATTATCAAGGACAACATTCCCTTATCCAGTTTGACTTTGGGGTGAAGGACAGAGATGGTGAGTGAGAAAGACAAGAATTGCAAGTTTTTTGGCAAGGTTTTTTTTGCACTTGAGAGGTTTAATTGGGGAGTTGTTTCAGTATAAATAAGGGACTATTTAAAATCCCGGAATTTTACAAATCTTGTCAAAATTGGAAATATATTTTGTTGGGGAAATTTGTAGGTTGTGCTTAGAATGTGACTACTTTTGACTTCTATTGTTCTGATCTTAACTGGAAATTGCTTGAAATGTGACCAGGTTGACTGAAATGTGACCACTTTTGACTCCTATTGTACTGATTAGATCTTTGAAAAAAACTCCGAAACAATGTCACTAATTTTTTAATAAATAAGATTCAACTTACTGATATTCTTGCATGCAATTTTTCTTACTTTGCCTTCGTGCATATCATGTACAAGACCTGTAAATAATTTTTACCCATATTATTATCTTAACCACGTATCACATTTTTTGCGTTGAAACGAGACAATATTTTTTACGTTATTTGTAAAACTGGAAGTTTTGTAAAATTCTGAAATTTATATGTAAATTTAATTAATTATGCATAATTATGCATAATTAATTGACGCCCATGACACGTTTGTAGCTTACAAAGTTAGTCATTTCCTCTTCCCACGTGCAAAAATCTTGTTTCTTTAATTAGCAACAATTCTTAGCTAATTTTATAATTGACTATTTAATTTTAATTTGGCAGGTGTTGGACACGCCGACGATCTGATGTACCTCTTCAACAAGACTTTCGCCGGTCCTGACATCCTCTTGGGGACGAAGGATGGGGAATTCTCGGAGAAATTGTTGTCCCTTTTTGTCTCATTTGCAAAAGATGGGTAAGTCGAAGAATACACTTTTGTCTTATTTAATATCTGACTCAATAATGTCTCATCACTAAAATCGTCAAAATCTGCACATTTTAAAGCATTTCTCCGCTCTGGGAATTTATTTTAAAATTCTGGACGACAAATTTGTAGTCGGTGAGTTGATTAATGGAATGGCGTTGAGTTTTTTGAGCCAGTTTCGACGGGTTCCAATTTTTCTGAAGGCTTCTTAAACTTGAGATATCCTCCTTCAAAAAGTGTCAAAATCTGGAGTGTATATTTCTAAAAAAATTGGGAACGACCTGCTCTACGAATTTTAAAATAAATTCCCACAGGCGAGAAATGATTAAAAATGTGCAGATTTTGGTGATGAGGAATCGAGCCCCACGTTTGACGACAAATTAACAAATCTCTGTAATTTATCTACCAGGAAACCCACCTCCCTCTGGGGCAACCAACAAGAGTGGCCCACCCAAGAACACAACAAACCAGGAAAATTGAGTCCGGTCAAATTGTACAAACTGGATTTGGAACAGACCGAACTTTTGAGCGATCCTTGGGCACCGAGACGCAAATTTTGGGATACGCTGCCAATCAAGGAGCACGAAAAAGTGGGGATGGACGACCCCAAGGAAGAATTATAGATGACTGATTATCGACATTTACATACACGCATGTTTACCATCAGAATTATTAAATAATTAAATAAATTGTTATGTTTTTGTTTGAATCTGACAAATAAATACTAATTGGTACACAAATTACACTTAATTATCGTGATTAAACAAGTAATTTATTAAGATAAGTCTCACTTTTTGGGGCAGAAGGGGTCAAAAGGTCAAAACCGTTAACAGAGAAGGCACTGGAATGGTTCACTTTGAAAGTTAATTCCTATTTTGGGGGCAGAAAGGGTCAAAAGGTCAAAATCGAGAGAATTAGGACTGGCTACTGACTGCTCGAAAGCGTGAAAATTAAGGGAGAGGTCAATAACCTCTTAAAGTCGTCTCTCTACTCTCGCAGTCGTCATCTGGTGCGTATTTTAGACAGTCGTGTCATCTGTTCAGATAACCCAACGACAAGATAACCCAAAGTTCGGAAATTTTACCCCCTTCCCCCAAAATATTATGGAAATTTTGAAATGAAAAAAAATTAGACCCATTCTCATTCAATCCATATCTTACTTAGTATTTCCTGAATTCTACATCTTTTTTCATTTATAAACAAAGTCGTGTTGGTTATCTAACGTCCAGGGATGGGCAATCCCAACACTTTCGATGGATTACGGATTACAGATTAATTAATTTAAAAATTATCATGGGATTACGGGATTGGGATTACTTCGTCCTTGAAATAATGTGGATTACTTGTTGGATTACTGGGATAAATTAATGACGTGGATTACGGATTACGGATTATTATCTGGATTCCAAAAATATGTTAATGGGTCAAAAGAAGCGAAATCCCGTTATGGAAAAATGTTGTCCGCCGGTCTGTATCCACGATAACTTTAGAACTGTTTCGAATTTCAACATGCGGCTTTCGCCAACGGGTTTCTAATTTTTGAGGTACGGATGAGCTCGAAAATCGGAATTGTAGGTCATAAGGTCACGGCGCCACAGTGATGACGCCACGGGTCAAACGTGTGCAATTTTTTTTGTTTTGGCCGTTTTAGACGTAGTTTCGGGCGACGATTACAAAAATCTTAATAGTTTTGACGTGACATGACCGAGTGACCGTGTCGATGACGCAAAAGTCGAAAATGTCGAATTTTTGTCTTGATAGGTTTAGACGTAGTTTTGGGCGAGGATTTCAAAAATAAAATCTAGACATAGTTTTGACATGCCATGACAGCGTGACCGTCTCACTCCACCCCTTTGCTACATTTTATTTGCAACGGTTTATTTTGGATAGCGTCACACTAATATTTCATGATGATTAGTTCAAAAAACGAGAGCTTTAAATGATTCATCCGACAGTCGGTTTCTTAGGGCAGACAAAAATATGTTGTAGTAAATAAACCCCTCTTAATTGTCCCAAAATTCTCTAAACTTTGTACCTCTGCTTAAGAATCCAGAAAGTAGTTTAAGCACTCACGTTCAGCAAGTGACTCAGACTCTGGAGAAGTTGCAAGATGGAGCTGTAATGCCGTTTACAGGAGCAAAGTAATCCAACAAAGTAATCCATAATCTGATTACATTTTCCAATCTCGTAAACTTGGGATTACGGATTACACATGATTTCCAGACCTAGTTAGGATTACGGACTATGGATTACTTTAAAATGTGAATTTTTCGTGGATTACTGGATTACGGATTACATTCAATGTAATCTGATTACTTAATCTGATTAAAGTAATCCTGGGATTGCCCATCCCTGCTAACGTCTTAACAATTAAAAGAATCCTGCCCTTATCTGCTGAACCGTGCTCATCCATCGTATAAACATGACGTCATTGTTAACATTGATGAACGTTTTGGACAGTGGGGTTTCCGAGTGTAGAACTTCTTGTTGTTGGTAAAGAATCTGTGGAATGGAAAAAGAAGGTACAGAGTTTTCATTTTTTCATAATTCAATTTAAATAATTTTTTTCGGAAATTTTAAAAACCTGGACAAACTCTTCGAAATCGATGCTCCCCGTGCCATCCTCATCGCCCGAACATAACTGTGGTATCCTGTCATTCATGGAAGTCTTGTCGCCCAAATTGTCCAAGCCTACGCTCCTGTAAAAGAGTAAGAAAAAGACAAAAATTTAATGTTTTTTGAAGAAAATTGACTCATCTGATTTCATATTTTGTTCACATCAACTCATCCTTAACATAGCATTGGCATCGATAAGCTTGATTTTGAAACTTATTATTTAAGATTCAACGTTTATACAAATATTAATATTTAATAAGTTTGAAAATGTAAATGATGCATTCCAGAAATAAAAAACGATGAATAAATATATTTCTGAAAGTGTAAAAAGGTGGTTGGCATTTGGATAATCTAGGGTAAAAACAAAATTTGAAAAATTATTACTCAAAAGTGGAGCAAGGACAGGCTGTTAACATTTTTTGAAGTCGTAGAAATCTAAAAAAAATGGTCATATAGTACAAATACGAAAAACTTAAATAGTGAGTTTTCCTTAAAGTTTCCTAAAATTATGGTCCTATTTCATCTCCTTTTTTTACTAGAAAGTAGAAAATTAATTTTATGAAAAACTTGAAAATAGTGAATTTTCCAATCCCTAAAATTTGTCTCCCATCTTCTCTCTTTTTTTTTACTTAATTTTACGAAAAATTAAGATTCCACGTTTATACAAATATTAATATTTAATAAGTTTGAAAATGTAAATGATTCAGTCCAGAAATAAAAAATGTGGAATAAATATATTTCGTGAAGTCTCAAAAGATGGGTCGCAATCAAATAGTCTAGGGTAAGAAATATCTAAAAAATTATTATTCGAAAGTGGAGCAAGGACAGGCCGTTAACATTTTAGAAGTCGTAAAAGTCTAAAAAAAAGCATGGTAAAATAGTAAAAAAAGTATGGCTGGGTCATGAAAAACTTAAATAATGAACTTTCCTGAAAGTTTCCTAAAATTTCGGTCCTACTGCCTCTCCTGTTTCTAGCAATTAATGAATTTGACAAAAAACTTAAAAATAACGAATTTTTCTACGAAAGTTCCCTACAATTTCTTAAAAATTTACATATTTACATTTCCGCAATTTCGATCAGCCCATCCCCATCGACTTCGAAGGCTTGGAAGAGATCGTGAATCTGGAATATTTTGCGGTCATCCCAACCCGCATATTTCATCTTGAGGTGGTCCAAATTGCAGTTGGTATACTTCATGGATGCCTCCATGCGATCCATCCGCCGCTGGATGAGCGGCCACATGATGCGACGCGTATTCAAGTCGAGAAAGATCATGGAGTGAAGGGCTTTATTCCATTTGTCGTGCACTCCGTCGCGCAGTGATCCTATCGACAAAAAATATAAATCGATCGATAACAAGTTATCTGCAAAATACTTTTGTCAAAATTCAGTATTTTGAGATCCGTTCTTCCCAGGGTTTGGATTTCCGGGGTTGTTACACCCACAAAAAGACGAAAATCTACGGAGAGAAGGTAACAGTCATATGAAAATACGGGTTTTGTAAAGAAATTAACTTTTTATCGGGGTCAACATAGGTTTTGGTTTTTAAAAAAATTGTGAAAATAACGTATTTTGACTCCAATAAAAAGTTAATTTATTTACAAAACCTGTATTTTCCTGCAACTGTTGCCTTCTCTCCGTAGCTTCTCGTCTTTTTCGAATTCTTTTCGGAATTAATCATAACTATACAGAACTCGCTCGACTTTTATAGCGAGTTCTGTATAGATAAACTGAAAATGCCCATTATCAATGTAACAAAATGTTGCTGATGCTGAAAATGGTGATCAATTTTGTATAGAAAAGTTATGTATACTGGAGAAAGTATTGAGTGAATGAAACCTTGTAAATCGCTTCCTGATCCTACCCAATTTTCAATTTCTACTCTTCAGTTTACAAAGTTTATGCACGAGTAAATTACTAAATTGCATATGTACAGCTTCTCCCACGACGAAATGACAATAATCATGACGAGATTGGGTGGTGCAGGTATGAGAAAAATATCTACTGCGTAAATATCTACAGTGTTTTGAGCTCCGTTCATACCAGGGTTTGATTTCCGGGGCTGGTACACCCACAAAATGACGAAAATCTATGTGGAGAAGGAAAAAGTCGTACGAAAATACATGTTTTGTGAAGAAATTAACTTTTAATCGCTGTAAAATTACATTTTTTTCAGCATTTTTAAAAAATAAAGCATTAAAGTTAATTTCTTCAAAAAACTACGATTTTAGTGTGACTGTTGCCTGCTTCACATAGATTTTCGTCTTTTTGTGGGTGTAACACCCCTGGAAATCCAAACCCTGGAAAGAACGGAGCTCAAAATACGATACATTTTGACAAAGTATTTTGTACACGCCTAGAAATAAATAATCGATAACGCGTGTGTTATCCGTCGTGCCTGATTGATGGGCTAATTAGGGATAAAAGAAACACTTACCTGAAATGGAGTAATCTTCCGCTCTCACATAAGAAATTGGCACGGCTTCCATCGGTGTACCGGAAGTGTTGGAAAAAATGACGTGTCGTATACACGACAAGACGGAGAGGACGGAACCCATCGTTTTTTCCTTCAATCTGGAATAATTTCGTGATGAGACAGCTTTTTGAAGTCATTCTTTTCATGGAGAAATTGTCATGGGGAGCGTACTATAAAAGGTGCTGTTTTGGGTGTTCGAAAATTTAAGGTGATGGATTCCAGTGTTCAGGGTGGAGGAAACCACGTGCAACAAATACGGGGGAGAAAGTGGTTTCTTGCAGGTACTTGAACCTGCAAGAAATGCAAGGCACAAGAAACCATACCTGTTCAAAAATTCAGTTTTCATTCAAAAGTCAATCAACCCTATTTCTGACTGAAGATTTTCATTCACATTCAGTCATTTTCGTTAAAATTCATTTCATTTCACTTCATCCGACTTCATTTCTTACTTCATCCTATTATTAAGCACAGGGAGAAAAATTAAAAGACTGAAAAATCCTTCATTCACAGTCATTCATCTAAAATAACCGAAACTTTCAGTCATTTTCATTCAAATTATAGGAAATTCATTTTTACTCACTATCATAATCAGTCAAATGAATGAGAGTGAACAGGTATGCAAGAAACTATACGTCCCGTCACCATAAATTCCTTAGACGGCGCGTGGCTGGATGACGCATATTTCTTGCACTTTCTCCCAGTTTTTTGCACCTCACATTTCTTGCATGACCTGCTTTGCCCTGCAAGAAATGTGACAAACCCGCAAAAACCGAAACACTGGGATTGACCATGAATTTTTTGCCGTGTTGAATTTATTTTTGCTGACACCGACTTTCTTTCTTTCTCCTGCTGATAATCATAAAATGAAGCCATCCTCCTCAAAATTTGGGTGTCGTCTTCTTCCTCTTCTTCTTGTCTGTTCGTGATTAATGACATCGACTGAAGGGAAACCCAGCCAAGTGTGTGTACTGTGTGCATGGATGGATGGATAGATGAAAATTGTAACAAGTTTGTACATATACGTCGTATGAAGGCATCTTGTTAAATATCTCTCATCAGCAGAGGGCGGATATGTATTTATTTCAAAATTTTAAAATTTGAAGGCGACCGCTGGTCAAATTTTTAAAATTTGATGGCGACCGATGGTCAAATTTTTAAAATTTGATGGCGACCGATGGTCAAATTTTTAAAATTTGATGGCGACCGATGGTCAAATTTTGTGGGTTGTTTGTCCCCTAACTAGCATAAATAACAAAAATTGCCAAATATTCTTATATTCTGTTTCGTATTTCTAGTTTTTCAGAAGCATAAATGTTTCCGTTCAATTATTTGAAACATAAGCAAGTATTTTGCATATCCCTAAAATAAAATAAAATGCGTATACACATATATTTTCTAAATATTTCAACGATGTGAGACGAAATTTTTGTGCTTAAAGAAATTCGATCGAAAAAAATCCAGAATATTCTAAAACACAAATTTTGCAGTTTTTTTTATTTTTATGTATTTTCGTACATATTTCATAACTATGTATTCTGTTTTTTTTGCCTATATTAAATACATATTTCAACAATTTTTCGTAAATATATATATCCGCCCTCTGCTCATCATCGTACACGGGCTGCTCGTGGGACGTCTCTGTTCTCATAAAAATTGAATAGCTGATAGATTGCCTCCTGCTGATCACATATTTTTTCTCGCCGTCTCGCACAAATTACCCTCGGATCTATGGATTAATGATTAATCTCTCTCCAATCCAAGCCACGAAATTCGATCAGGAGGCATCCTGCAGAAAAAGCAGGGGCCGCGGAAGCGTGGGTGGGGACAGAGGGACAATGTCCCCAAGGTGGTTCGATGTCCCCGACATCTTCCCATCTTATATAAACCTCGCCTTCCCTCCTCTATCCTACAATGGCAATGTCCCCAGATGTCCCCTCAGCTTCTGCGGCCACTGATTACACGTGTATAACATAGTACTTTTATGCAGTGGCCGCGGAAGCGCGGGAATGTCCCCACGGTTATTCGATGTCCACATCATCTGCCCATATAAATATATGAACACCGCCCTCTCATGTCCTAAATATGACTGTCCCCAGATACCCCAACAGCTTCCGCGGCCACTGATTACGCGAGTATAACATACTTTTATTCAGTGGCCGCGGAAGCGTTGGTGAGTACAGAGGGACAATGTCCCCACAGTTGTTCGATGTCCGCATCATCTGCCCATCTTATTCAAACCCCTCCCTCCCCCCATCCTACAATGTTAACGTCCCCCAATATCCCCCCTGACAACATCCGCGGCCACTGCCGGAGAAAGTGCTGAGGATAACGGAAAACTGGTACCCACATCGCTCGCTCCTCGTCCTTAATTCGCTAACCTTGAACTTTGGTCAAACTTTTTTTTTGTTCCCGAGGATAAAAATTAATTTAATAGAAAAACTGGAATGGAATGATATTAGATTAGTCGACCCAGTGGAGCTTGTGGTGCAACGTGCTTTTGAGAATGGAGCAAACCAACGCTGCAAGATTTATGGATCCAATATCGCTTTTAACGGAACGCTGTGTGTGTTCAATTGCAGCTGTGACACGGTAAAATATACGACTCTATTCTCGATATTCGACCAGTGGCCGCGGAAGCCGTGGGGACATCTGGGGACGTTAACTTTGTAGGATGGGGGGAGGGAGGGGTTTATATAAGATGGGGAGATGATGCCGACATCGAACAACCGTGGGGACATTGTCCCTCTGTCCACACCAACGCTTCCGCGGCCAGTCCTTGAGCTTGCTTTTTATGGAGTTGGGAAAAGTCTAACTTTTAGTTTGCCAGCTTTTTCATAGAGTTTCGTCTAATTAAACGGGTTCGGGAGTCGGGAGAACGTGAAATGAAAAATATATTTTTTAAGGGAAGAATTAATTAAGTATGCATTGGACTTTGGGAAAGTGTATGTATTTTTGAACGTACGAATTTCCTCTATTTTTTGGAGTTGTTAGTTTAGTTGGAAATTCTACCTTTGAAGTTTTTGAAGGTTTTCGTGCAATTTTGTCCAATTCCAAAATATTCGCGGAAAAATATTGTTTTTTTTGACGAAATAAGTATGCAGTTTTTGAATTGAAATTCAAAAAAGCTTATATATTTTGTATTTAAATATATGGAAAATGTGCGAATTTATTGAAAGCCTTTACTTTTTATGGATCGAGTTCTTGGTTTAGTAACTTTTAATTTTTTGAGGGTATAGCTTTTTCATACAATTTTGTCTAATTAAATATATTCGCGAGGAAATGTAAACTATGTATACCTATATTTTTGTATCAAATAAGTTCCCTTTGTATGAATTGGATTTGGGAAAGTGTATAAAAGTACAAGTGCGAATTTTCTCTATTTTCGACGAGTCCCTCCTTACTTTTTATGTAGTTTTGAAAATTCTAACTTTTCGTTATCGGGCCTTTTCATAGAATTGTGTCCAATTAAACGTATTCGGGAGGACGTGAAATGAAAAATATGTATGTTTTTTTTACAGGAAATATGTAAGTTCCCATTGTTAAATTGGATTCGTTAAAATGTGTTTATTGAAAGAATTGCTTTTATGGAGCTCGTGGTTTTTCGGGGAAATCCTAACTTTTAGTTTCATACAATTTTGTCCAATTATTAAACGTATTCGAGAGGACACGAAAAATATATTTTTTCTACAGGAAATAAGTTCCCATTGTTGAATTGGATTTGGGAAAGTGTGTGTATCTTGCACAGGGAAAGTCGACGTACGAATTTTATTTGGAGCAAGAAGAAGTTAGTGCCAGGCCGAGCATGACTTTGCCAGCGTGTGGTTTTTAAATGGATCCGATTTTCTGCTCCAGTTCCGATAAATAGGTCTCCAACGAGGAAGCGAAAGTGAAAGTGAAAGTCAACCCGGCAACCGACAACAACCAAAGCAAACGCCACATTTATGCGACTTCCTCCTCCTCGATGTTCTCGATGAGATGAGGGGACACACTTGTGTGCACAATGATAAGTAAGCCTCTCTTCGTCTGTGTACATACACACACGTGCATAAGTTGATTCTATGCATTTATGTATGTAGTGTGTATATACAGGACAAAGAATAGGACAGGACAAACTGAAAAGTGAAACCATACATATAAAAAAGTAGAGTATAATTTTGACGGTTGCTTTCAAATTTCGGACCAACAAAAGGCAGGCACGTTGACGACACGTGGGCCACATATTAGTCGGTGTCAAAAGTGGTAGCAGGAGCAAATTCGACAGTAAAATAGGCACGAATAAGACATCTCTTGGTCGATGTACATACGTATGTACATACATACGTCGATTTTAAATAGATGTGTGTATATACGGGACAAACTGAAAACTGAAGCCATATAAAAAATAAAGTACATAATTTTGACGGTTGCTTTCAAATTTAGAACAAAAAGAGGAAAGTTTACGCGACACGTGGAACTGTACAGGCGGATAATAACCATGCCATATACATATTTTTCCCAGGTTTGATAAGTTTTAGTCGGTGTCAAAAGTGGTAGCAGGAGCAATTTCGACAGCTAGATAAATAGGCACGAATAAGGCATCTCTTCTTGGTCGATGTATATGTGCATGTGCATACGTTGATTTTAAATATGTGTGTATGTATACGGGATAAACTGAAACCTTCTAAAAAGTTATAATTTTGACGCTTGCTTTCAAATTTCCGACCAACAAAACCCACCACGTTGACGACATGTGGAAATCTACAGGCGGATAATGACAATGCCTCACAAGCCATATATTTTGTCCACTTTTGTTTGGTCTCAAACAAAAGTGGAGGAAGGAGGAACAAATTCGACAGCAAAAGATATACATTTCTTGGTCGATGTTGATACATATACGTCGATTCTATGCATGTATATGTACATATGTACCTATGTGTTTAAATAGGGGAAAAAGAGACACTTAAAACTGAAACCTTCTAAAAGTAATAATTTTGTATGTTAATTACTTCTAAATTTAGAACTAACAACAAATAGGCACGTTTACAGCATGTGGACATCTCTGCATATATGTATGTACATACGTATGTACGTAGGTGTTTTATTATTAATTTTCAAAAGGTATGTTCCGCACTGTTTCTGACCAAAATTTTGATGAAATAACAAACTTCAAATACATTTAGGAGGCTATGATTTTTTTCAACTCTGTGGGTTAACATAAACACTAGCAATAAATCGGCAAACTTTACCTCGACGGAAAAAATGCTAGATTTGCAAATTAAATATCGTAGTGTGATTTAATTTTTAATGCTGGATGGGCAATACGTGTCGCAGATTTATGGTTGAATGCTTAAAATGTACAATGAAAACTGCCCAACACAAAACACAAATTCAATTGGGTCAATAATTTTTAATGATGGCGAAACGAGGTCTCGGGCAAAAAGTCGCAAGGACGCTCAAAATCCGCTTCTTCCACAGAAAGGCTCCGGAAACTAGAAGAACCAATAATGAGAGATCCGCGATTGAAACTGTCCTATATAGCAGATGAGATGGGTGTTCCAAAACCAGCAATTTGTTCCATGTTAACTGAAGACTTAGGTATGAAAATGGTTTCCGTCCGTTGGGTACCAAAATTGCTTTCGGCATCTCAAAAACAAGACCTTTGCAATGCAAATTTTAACCTATTAAATGAAAACTGGAACCTGCTCAATATTTTATTAGCTGCATATGGTACTTGGGTTTACTATTATGACCCGGTGACCAAATAATAATTCCCTCAATGGAAGCACGAGGGGTTGCCACCGCCCGTGAATTGAAAAGTGCAAAAATCTGACAAAAAAATTGATGATGACCATTTTCAAGGATACCAAAGGTCCCCTCCTTATAAAATTTATTGCTGGAAATACTGCAATAAATGGGGCCGTGTATGCAGGAACCCCGAAGGAGCTGCGTCCTCCGGTTGAAAAGAAACGTGGGGTCAAAATAAAGAGTTGGCCTTTTTTTAGACGACAACGCGCCACCTAATACCTGGCTTTTTGCGAGGGTTAGTGCAGACGAAAATCGCTTTACCTGCACAAACCACGCCCCGTGCAGTCCAGACTTGTCCCTTAGTGATTATTATTCGTTTCGAAACTTAAAGAAAAACATCAGGGGAAAACGGTTTTCGGATGATAATGAAATCAAGTCGTAAATTTTGGCATATTTTCGAGGTAAATTTTAATGAGTTATTGCTAGTGTTAATGTTAACCTACAGAACAGAAAAAAATCACAGCATCCTAAAAGTATTTGAAGTTTGTTATTTCATCAAAAGTTTGGTCAGAAACAGTGCGGAACATACCTTTTGAAAATTAATAATAAAACACCCACGTATATCGTCAGTTCTAATCTCTATGTAGGTATGAATACACGGGAAAAAGGGACAAACTCGAAGCTGAAACCATATAAAAAAGTAGCGTACATAATTTTGACTCTAAATTTCAGACCACCAAAAACCAGGCAGGTTTACGACATGCCGGACGGATAATGACCATTGTATCGCAAACCACATGCTTTTCGACTTTTGTTCCGTGTCAAAGAACAAATTCGACAGCAAAATAGACACGAATAAGGACTCTCTCTTGGTCGATGTACAAATATACATCGATTCTAAACATGTATATGCATATGCGTGTATAATACGAGAAAAAGGGACAAACTGAAAACTGAAACCCTGTAAAAAGTAGAGTACATAATTTTGACGGTTGCTTTCAAATTTCTGATCAACAAACAGGAACGTTTACGCGACACGTGGAATAACTCACCGGGCGGGTAATGACAAATTTTTCCACTTTTGTTTGGTGTCAAAACTGATATCAGGAGCAAATTCGACAGCAAAATAAGCACATATAAATAAGGCCTCTCTTGATCAATGTGCATAATAATATGCACATACTGTGTGTATATACGGAAAATAGGATAAAATGGACAAGCTGAAAACGGAAACCGTCTAAAAAGCAGATTTATTTATAATTTTGACTCCAAACTTCGGACCCACAAAAAACCACCAAGGCGGATAATGACCGTCCCAACCCACATGTTTTTTCTACTTTTGTCCCCTGTCAAAAGTGGTGGGAGGAGCAAATTCGACAGCAAAATAGGTACACGGGAAGAAGGATTGGTTTCATTTCGGAATAAATTATTGGAATTCAAAGGAAAAAAAATGGATTTCTGCGAGGACGAGGAGAAGAGAAATATGGTGAAAGCAAAGCGGGGATGCATGTAAATAGCATACAAAATCCGGGTTCTTCCTTATTTTTCGGTTCGGTATTTTGCTCTGTATGGCGGATTTCTCTTTGTGTGCATGCCTGGTCGGCGGCTCACTCACAATCATAAAAGCAAATAATAAAAAGATTCTGTATCATTATTTGACTTTCTACTCAATGAAATGTTATATAGCGGTGGTGGGTTTGGGAGGTTTGGGAGGCAGAATTTCAAATATTTTGAAGATTCATATACATATCTACATACATATGAAAACCGAATTCGGATTTAGCCAGGATGGATGCCAGGATGGAATTTCATGGACGGTTTAATTAATTTAATCCCATGTCACGGGATTGGACTGGACTGAAATCATGTTTTATTATTCGGGTTGGTTTGTTGTCGGGTTTTCGGGAATTTCGTGCATTTTTTTGTGGAAAGTCACTGCACTAAAAAAAAAGAAATGACAAACAAAATTTGTTCATTTCATGCAAATTTTATTTTCTTGACTTTCACCAAAAACTGTTTCGTAAATTTTCAAGCACTTTTCTCTAAAAGCTCTCTACATATACTAAAATCGAAAGTGGCAAAAAATGTTGATAGGTGTTCACGTCAAAAAATATTAATTTTTTAAAAGTTTTGTTTAATATTATAATGTAGATTTTAAAAAAATATTCAATTTTGTTGACTTTCACTGAAAATTTCTACTAAAATCAGAAGCAGCAAGAAATGTGCATGTTCGTGTACAAAATTTATTTAAAAAAAATGTGTTCATTATTATCATAAAAAATAAATAAAATTTGATAGTTTTGTTGATTTCCTCCGAAAATTATTTCGTAAATATTAGAATTATTATTCCAGTTTGTTCTGGAAACTATTTACTAAAACCAGAAACACCAAGAGATGTGTAAGGGTTCACGTATATATATTGGTCATCATAATTTTGTTGACTTTTATCATCAAAAATTGTTTAGTAAATATTCGGACATTTTTTTCTGAAAGCTTTTAAAAAAAATAAAATCAGCATTAATAACAAAATGTTAAAGTTCATGTGAAAAAAAAATCCTAATTTTGTGTTGACTTTCACTTCACCCAGAATAATTGAATCTCATAATTTTCTCGGTGGCCAAAATGGATTAGATGCATTAGTTGTTGGTTGTCGGGTTGAAAAGCACTTACTCCTGCACAGACACGTTCACCGCGTAATTGAATGATTAAAGAGGTCAAATTAGTGTCAAAATAATTACGGGAAAAGTTACATGATTGACCTTTTCAAAAGTCCATTAGCAAAGAGAGCACTCCGTCCGTGTGATGACTCGTGATGTGTTTTTTTTTCAGGAAGCAGAAAAAAAACTTTGGGTACAAGCAAAGCCTAAAAATTTGCGAATCTCGTACTAATCTAGTTAGAGAATTTTTGTTAGTAATTTTGCAAATATTTGAATATTGGCAAATCTCTTTAACCAATTTAAAGTGCGATAGTTAGAGAATTTTTGTTAGTAATTTTGCAAATATTTGAATATTGGCAAATCTCTTTAACCAATTTAAAGTGCGATTTCAACGTAAGACTCGATGATTCATCTCCAAAATCATCAAAATCACCACATTTTTAATCATTGCTAGTCTCTGGGAATTTATTTTAGAATTCTGCAAGACAAATTTGTAGAGCTGGAATCGTTGCCATTTTTTAAAAGAAATATACACTCCAGATTTTGACCCTTTTTGAAAAAAGTTTAAGAAGCCTTCAGAAAAATTGGAACTCGTCGAAACTAGCTCAAAAAACTCAACGCTATTCCATCAATCAACTCACTGACTGTAAAGTCGTTATCCAGAATTTTAAAATAAGTTCCCAGAAGCAAGAATTAATTAAAAATGTTTAGAGTTTGACTCCTTGGGTGATGAGTTAGCGGATCCTATGGTATAAGTGATCCCAAAATCTGTAATTTTTATGGTTAAATAAAATTATTACCACATTTTTTTATGGCGTCGTACTCCACCAAGCTTACGGACAGAACGAAATGACCGCAGTAGATTGCGAGATAAGCTCGAAAGACGATTCGATCAGGATTGCGAATGGATTTATGGATATTCGGGTAAGATATTTAATTCAGGACTTGTTGGCTCATGACCAAAATACTAAAAATCGACGCATTTTTAATCATTTCGGACAAAATTCAGACACAAATTTAGAAGAGGACTGTGTCCCTGACTCGGGCTATATCAAGTCTGCACTGTAGGTTTTTAAGCCAGTTTCGATGAGTTCCAATTTTTCTGAAGGCTTCTTAACCTTAAGATCTCTTCCTCAATATGTGTCAAAATTTGGAGCGTATATTTTTAAAAAATTGAGAACGACCTTCCCAGCAAATTTGTCGTCCAGAATTTTAAAATAAGTTCCTACGGATGGGAAAGAAATCGTTAAAAATTTGATGATTTTGGGGATGAGTCATTGAGTCTTCGGTTAACTATGTTTTGAGGTAATTAAATTACATTTATTTTTTGTCCTTCGTAAAAAATGTATGTAAATGACACAATGCATTTCCCTGATTATTTTGGCATTATCTTTATAAATTAAAATTCCGGTATAGTTTTATGGTCGAGATCCGTACGACTTGACCCAAACTGGGCGATAATTCTGGTCTTCAGATCGCGGGGAATATCGCATCTTGGGAGAAAACCGGGTCAGAGGTAGTCGTGGTCCTTCCTCCGAGTCGTTATCGTCATCGTCCTCTAAATCACTGCGGGAATTCACTTTGGCATTAAGAACGCCGTACCAGGTCGCCTTTCCAACGGCTGGACCCCAGCCGACCGAGTGTACAGCAGTCGGCTTTTGTTTGTAGGTTTTGCGGTGGTGGGGGTGATGGTCATCGTCGCCGTGGCCGTGACCGTGGCCATGATCCCCCTGAAAAGTTAACAGCGTGCTAAATAAGTATTATTTCAATTCGCAGAAAAATTGCAAATTGAAGATACAAAATTGAACGCAGGACTCAATGACGAATCGCCAAAAGTGTCAAAATCAACACATTCGTAATCGTTTCTCGGCTCTGGAAATTTATTTTAAAATTCTGGACGACGAATTTGTACAACAGGAAGTAGTGTTTCTCACGGGTCGGGTTCTTGCAAATCCGAAACCCGAACCCGAACCCGGTACCACTGGTCCGAAACCCGAGGCCAACCCGAACCCGAAGAACCCGTACCCGTTTGCAGGGACCCGAACCCGAACTGGCGGTATAAATCCGAAACCCGAACCCGAAAACCCGAAAACCCGAAAATATTTTTAATTTTAAGGCATGGGCTGAATTTGTACTTTAAAATTATTTAAAAGCTTAAAAATCAACAATATTTATAATATTTCAAAAACTGCCCAGAGTGGCTTTCCGAGACCTTTAGAAATTTGAAAATCAGTCCAAAATTGGATAATTGTTTCCAGTTTGACGTTTCCAATTTTATTACTTATGTAATGTAATTAGGTATGATTCAGGTAATTGCATAGCAAAATTAGGATAAAAATTCGATATCGATAGTTCGCACCATAACACTAATTGAATCAGGCTCTTGTAAATCGTTTACCTTTTTGGAAACCATTGAAATTAAACGAATTTAAGACAACTAGAAATTGGAATTACTTACTTCAGTATTGCAACCGCTGAAGCACATGTAGTTCAACAATTTTTCTAATATCTTTTTGTGATATCGATCCAAAAAAGTTTGATTCGGGTTTCGGGTTCTTAATCCGTACCCGAACCCGACCCGAACCCGAAATTCTGACATGACAATTTTCGGACCCGAACCCGAACCCGAAAGTTTCGGGTTCTTAAATTTCGTATCCGAAGCAGAACCCGAACCCGAACCCGAAACCCGAAGTAAGGACCCGAACCCGTGAGAAACACTAAGGAAGTTTCCTATTTTTAAGAAATATACACTCCAGATTTTGCCACTTTTTGAAGGAGGAGATCTCAAGGTTCAGAAGCCTTCAGAAAAATCGGAACTCGTCGAACCTGGCTTCAAAAACTCGTACAAATTTGTCTTCCAGAATTTCAAAATAAATTCCCAGAGCGTAGAAATGATTAAAAATTTCTTGATGTTCATTTGATGCACTGAATTTTTAAAGCCAGTGTCGATGAAATCCAGTTTTCTTAAGTTGAGATCTCCTTCAAAATGTGTCAAAATCTGGAGTGTATATTTTTTAAAAATTGGGAACGATCTGCTCTACAAAGTTGTCGTCCAGAATTTTAAAATAAATTCCCAGAACGGAGAAATCGAAAAACGTGTTGATTTTGACGACTTTGTTGATGCAAATTAGGCAATTATTTTAAATATTATGAATTAATTACCGCATCGTCCTGCACTTCATCATCTTCATCGTCCTGTTCCTCATCACTATTATTCTCATCATCTTGCACCGCATTTTTCTGCCCTTCGACCGGCACGGCTTGCGGCCACCACGGCCATCTCGCCACGACGCCTTCCGCCTGCCCGAATCCCGGCCACTTGTAGAAGTACCAGGGGTCCTCCAAATACGGTTGGTACGGGACCAGCGGTGGCTGCTTCGCCGCGGCCGCGGCTGCGTCTTCTGCCTCCTTCTTTTTCTTGGCGGCGGCGGCGGCGACTTGCTCGTCGTTGTCGACGTCTTCGTTGGACTCGTCGTCTTCCTCCTCCTCAGAGGAATTTTCCGCCCCGTAAACGTGCTCGAGGAGGAGGAGGAGCGCGATGAAGAAGGCGACGAGGGATGGCAGGGCGAGAATCTTCATGGTTTATGAAGAATTTTTAAAAGTAAGAGAAACCAGTTTGTTCTCGGACGGACGAGACGTGAGAAGGAACTGAGGGTGGGTTTTGGCAGGAGTGAATAAGATGAAATGAAGGAATAATAAACAGGTGTGTGTGAAGGTGGAGGTTGGAGTGCTTGACCTGTGATGTGATCTGGTCGGACGGTGTATGTATGTAGAGGCAGAGATATGAAGCAAATCCGGATTTTTTAGTAAGCAGAGGGTGGATATGTATTTACCACTAATCGCTAAATATGTGATTAATATTTACAGAAAACGCTAAAATATTTATGAAAAACATACAAATCAGAGTTCTCGCAAAAATTTTATTTTTGAATTTAATGCTGTGGATTTTTTTGTGGTAAAATTTCTTGGAAAAAAATGGTCTCATATCGTTGAAATATTTACAAAATATGTATATTTTTGAAAAAAATATGTATATTTTTGAAAAAAATATGTAAATGCTTTACGTATTTTCCAAATGATAGCGGAAATATAAATATTTCTGAAAACCTCGAAAAAGTTTGCAACATGTAAAAATATTTTTAAATTTTGTGATCTATACGAGTTTTCTAAGACTGTTACACACAAAGTTTGACCGTCGGTCATCATCAAATAAAAAAGCTGAAAATAAATACATATCCACCCTCTGCTGATCACTGAATTGTCTTTATGCTTATGTACAAAGCTATTATTTTTATAAATTTGAATATAAATACGTATCTAATATGCAAATTTTTATCGTTTATTCGGCTTGTGTCTGACGTAACAGATGGCATTTCGGAAAGGATTTGTATTTGTGCATTTCGTTTCGTTCTTCTCGGAGAGTACGCAATTTCGACCTGAATTTACTTTCGGTCGGAGAGGAGGAAGAAGAAAAGCTCGTTATTATGCTAATGGAAAACAGAAGGGTTTCCAGAACGGGAAAATACACAGGGCAAAAGAGCTCATATTAATGCCTAATGCGAATTTAACTACCTGTGCAAAAAGTCATTACTTTCGCAGAAACGAGGCACGGAAAAGCCTGGCTTTAATCGAGATCACATTTCAATTCGATTTTCATTTCATTTCGTTTCACGGCGTGGTTGAAAAATGTGTGGAATTAGGAAGAAGTAAAATGCGAAATGTGTGGAATTTAAGTACTATCAGCAATATTAGTAAGATGCGAAATGTGTGTTTGTCGTGTGAATTACGTGAAAATAGGTTCGTAACTAACGGGTTTGCAAGACTTCAGTCAGTGAGTATGTATATGCAAATTACTATGTATGAACATTGCAAAACCGGTTCCGTTTCATATCTATACATCTGTAACAAAGGCTGTATTATGCCAAATCACAATCTGAGGTTTAAGTAAGCGCGTGTAAGTATGTGCATGCATATTATGTAAATTTTTGCAAGTTTTTGAAGGAGCCACCAAACACTCTAGTAGAAGTGGTGGGCGTAGGTGTGTAAGTAAGCATTTGGGTATGGATTTGGAGAAAATTATTGCAGAATGGATTCGCAAAAATTATATTGGGGATTGAAAATGATACCGGAGTGAAATCCACTTATTTGGACATGCGGGTATTGATTTTGATCTCCAAATTGGGTAAAAAATTCGTATTTTTAAAAATAATTTCTTAGAAAATGGTTTCTTATCTGAAGTAGAATTAATTTTGCATCATCTCCTTTGAAGAGTAATCCAGAATTGTATGAGTATGCGGAATCCCAGATTTGCAGAATTTTATGCAAAACAATTTTTTTGCAATGTCGCAATCATAATAATGCAACAATTTTCTGCACTCTGGGTTCCTCCTCCTTTGATTGAAGAGAATTCCAGAATTTTATGAATTCCATAAATTCCAGAAAATTGTATATAGAATAATTTTTTGCAATGTCGCCATTTTCTGCACTCCTATTTCCTCCAGATCGATTCATCAGAATGACGACAATCTGCATATCTCACTTACTTGCATACCTCCCGACCGACACGCGTAATCACATCACCTCGACAAAATCGAATCCATCCAATCTAACCATTGAATTGAATCTATTCTGATAAAACGTCTCCTTAAATTGCATTCTGTCAGATTTCTCCTCCTCCCAATTTTCATCTCAACACGAACGAAGCAGGCGTCTTGAATGAGATGAAATGTTGCTTACTTACTTAAATGAAGTTGAATGGAGCAGAGTGAAAGTAAACCAAACCACGAAACCAACCACCACCACTTTCACCAACCTGCCCGTCTCATCAGGAACATAAATAGAGATACAGTACATACTTGAGGAGAAGATTTCAAGTACTAAACAGAACAGAGACGTGATTATGCATATGATGCACAAATAAGCAGTGTTTCGGGTGCAAGTAAGTAACAAACTTGGAAGAAATAAGGGGGAGAAAGTGGTTTCTTGCAGGGGAATATTTTGACTGGGGAGAAATTCAAGGTGCAAGAAATTATGTCCCGCTATAAATACTTCATAAGGCGCGTGGCTAGATGGCGCTTATTTCTTGCACTTTCTCCCAGTTTCTTGCACCTCGCATTTCTTGCGTGGCTTAGTTTGAGTGCAAGAAAAGTGACAAGCCAGTAAGAAATGAGACACTGGGTGAAAGTAGTCACTGCCGACCACGTGTTTCGTGCGTGTGCAGGTGAGCACGTGCAAGAAATAGTGGGAGGAAAGTGGCTTTTGGCAGCAATTCTGACGTGCAAGAAATGCAAGGCGCCAGAAACTACAGTCTCTATACTTCATACGGGGCGTGGCTAGATGACACATATTTCTCCCACTTTCTCCCAGTTTCTTGCACCTCCCATTTCTTATTGATTTCCAGTGCAAGAAATGAACCAAACCAAACCACCCGCAAGTCGCGAAACACTGTATGCACACAGATAACGAAATATGGAGAGAGATAGAGAGCGAGAGAGATAGATTAAGTAGTCTTGGTCGTGGTTTAGTTGGGGTTTTGGTGGGCACGGGTTTGATGAGACAGGTACGTAGTCAAAGTGAAAGTTGAAGGCCAACCTCCAACTTTTCCCTGCTCACTCGCTCACTCACTTATTCATTTGCCAGGATCAGTATTAGCACTTTATTATGGACGAGGACGAAGAGAGATGGGCAAGCTGCGTTACTTGCATGCATGTTTTTCTCGGTGCGGTTGGACTTCTTCAGTGGCCGCGGAAGTGTGTGGGGGGGGACAGAGGGACAATGTCCCCAAGGTTATTCGCTGTCCCCATCATCTGTCCACGTGTATTAACCCTTTCCTCCCCTATCCTACAATCATACCTGTTCACCTTCATTCATTTTTCTGATTATGATTGTGAATGAAAATGAATTTCTTATCATTTGAATGAAAATGACTGAAGGATTCCGTCATTTCAGATGAATGACTGTGAATGAAAGGATTTCTCACTCATTTCATTTTTCACCCTATGCTTAATACATGGGGCGAAGTAAGAAATGAAGTCCGATGAAGTGAAGTGAAATGAAATGAATTTGAAAGAAAATGAGTGAATGTGAATGAAAATCTTCAGTCAGAAATGGAGATGATTGACTTTTGAATGAAAACTGAATTTTTGAACAGGTCAATGTTAATGTCCCCACAGCTTCCGCGGCCACTGATCATACATATGTCCCTCTCACGGGAGAGATTTCTCCATCCATCGTGCCGTGGTGAAAGTGAAACTAATTTGTTGCATATGTATGGACAATTGGGGGGCAAAGGGCAAACTGTTGGTTGGGCACAGTCATTGGGGAAATTAAGCCTTTTGTTGTCTCCTGGTTTGCTTTAGTTTGATTACATTAAGAGAGGAAAAGAAAGGCTTTTCAGTGGAGATGAGATGCGGATGTGGGGCATGCACGAGTGACCGTAGAGTTTCTTGGGGCGGAATTAAATCTACATTTGTGGAGAGGATTGAATTCAAATTGTAGTGTTTCGGGTGCAAGTAAGAAACCACGTGCAAGAAATAAGGGAAAGAAAGTGGTTTCTTGCAGGTAAATATTTTTACCTGCAAGAAATGCAAGGCGCAAGAAACTAAATCCCGCCGCTGTAAATACTTCATACGGCGCGTGGCTAGATGGCGCTTATTTCTTGCACTTTCTCCCGGTTTCTTGCACCTCGCGGTTCTTGAATTGCTTGTTTTGCAGTGCAAGAAATGTAGCAAATTCGCAAAAAGACGAAACTCTGGTGGTATTAATAAGTAGTTTATTAGAGCGAAATTATTTAAATCTACATTTTCGGAGAGGATTGAATTCAAGGATCGTTACCGAGTCGGTAATAAGTAAACAGTTTTGGTATGACGTTGAATCTTTCGGTGGATATTCTGTTCTTTGCAGAGTGTAGAGATGTTTTTGTTCCATCTTTATCACTAAACTATTCATACCAATTCAGTAAGCTTTTTGAGCTTTAAATTGTTACCTAGTCGGTGGTAGATAAACCAGTTTTGGTATGATGTTACTTCTCTACATTGGTTTCTGTCCCATCTCTATCACTCAAATAATCCATAAATTATTCATCATTCTTCAAGATTTTTGAGTTGAGGAGGATGAATTCGCATGAAAAAGTAATATGGAGAAGAAGCCAAACGAAGAGTATTCAGTATGGACACGTGTCGTGCTTAATTTTCATGCAAAAAAGCTAAAAGTTTCTTGAATTTGGCATTTGGCATAAAACGTATGAAAAAGTAAAGCGGATACGCATGAAGTCTCCTCGAAGAGAAAGATGGCCACGTGTCGTGCTTAATTTTCATGGAAGAAAAATGTATGCAAATATTTTTGCAAATGAGTTGAAACGTGATATTTAACATATTTATTTATATATGAATCTTACTTATTCATTTATATTTGCCACGAATGGACACGTGTCATGCATTATTTTCATGGAAAAAAATGGTAAAAGTTTCTTGAATTTGGCATAAAATGTCCACATGACAAAGTAAAGCGGACACGCATGAAGACTCCTAGAAGAGAAAGATGGCCACGTGTCGTGCTTAATTTTCATGGAAGAAAAATATATGCAAATATTTATGCAAATGAGTTGAAACGTGATCTTTGACCTATTTATATATACGTATTTACATATTTACTTACCCATTCATTTATATTTTCATGCAAAAAGGTAAAAGTTTCCTGAACTTGGTATAAAATGTCCATATGAAAAAGTAAAGCGGGCACGCATGAAGACTCCTCGAAGAGAAAGTTGGCCACGTGTCGTGCTTAATTTTCATGAAGAAAATATACGCAAATATTTATGCAAATGAGTTGAAACGTGATCTTTGCCATATTTATATATGTATATTTACTTATTCATTCATTTATACTTGACACGAATACATACATAATGTTTGTACCCTCACATAAAAGACATTTACTAGAGATACGACTCGGAGAAAACTAGTTATTTAATTTGTTTGTTGCTTTTTCCGAGCAAATATTATCGAGTGTTTTTGCGAGCGAGAGATTTCTAAGTAATTTCACTTTGACCCATTTGTTCCAAAGCCTATTGTTTTTTCCTTCGCCTCTTTAAAAAAAGTTGAAACTTGTAGAGTTTAGAGATGGATGAGAGGATGGGATGAGTTCTGGGTTGCTTGCTTACTGCGTTGTTTGTGTGCTGGAGAAAGTTTCAGAGTAAACAGAAATTTTGAGAGAAGTAAGGTTCAGGGGTGGGCAAAATACTGGTTCAAAATACAGCATTTTGAGCTCTGATGTTTACAGGGTTTGGATTTCTGGGGCTGTTGCCTGTTACATCCACAAAAAGACGAAAATCCACGTGGAGAAGGGGACGGTCGTACGAAAATACGGGTTTTGTGGAGAAATTAACTTTTCATCAAGGTCAAAATACGTTATTTTTTAAAAATCGTGAAATCAATGGATTTTTTTATACCAACAAAAAGTCAATTTATTTTTTTAAAAAACCTGTAATTTCGTAAGACTGTTGCAAATACGAAAATCTACGTAGAAAATGCAACAGTCTTTCAAAATTGCAGGTTTTTTTACGAAGAAATTGACTTATGGTCGGTACCAAAAAATGATTTGTTTTCATGATTTTCTAAAAATAATGTATTTTGACATAGGTAAAAAGTTAATTTCTCCACAAAACCTGTATTTTTGCTGCCTTCTCCACGTAGATTCTCGTCATTTTATGGGTGTAACAGCCCCGGAAACCCAAACCCTGAGAAGAACCGAGCTCAAAATACGATACATGTATTTTGCCCACCTCTGGTACATAAGTTTGTGAGCATTTTGTAGGTAAATATACTTATAAAGAGACGTACGTACGTAGATACATAAGAGGATTTGAGGATTACTTGGGACGCGACTTGTGATCTCGCTGTAAATAAATATTTTTACTACTTCTACTCTTCAACATAGCTGTACGACGGCTGCAGAACGACGGGGGCTGCAGGCTCGTTAAATTGAGACGAGGAACCGATTTCTTCCTCTTCGCCTGAAAGAAAAACGGAGAAAAGAAAAAAGATTGGAATTTAATTGATGATTGATTCGTAATTGAAGAAGTGAATAGAATCTCGGTGTTTCGGGGTTTGCTAGATTTCATGAACTGGAAGGCGAGAAACGCAAGAAATGCGAGGTGCAAGAAACTGGGAGAAAGTGTAAGAAATTTGCACTGTCAACTCCATGAAATATAACGGTGGGATGTAGTTTTTCTTGCACCGTGCATTTCTTGCAGGTCAAAATATGTAGGGACAAAAAACCACTTTCTTCCCGTTATTTCTTGCAAGTGGTTTACTTAATTGCAACCGAAAAACTCGTAAAAACGATCAAAATTCGAGAAAAACGAGGTCAAATTTACTAAAAGAAACTATTTCATTGTGGGAATTTTTCCAAGTGATTTCTTATTTGCACCCGAAACACTGGAATTTATTTTATTTTACCTTCTCCATCGGCATCAGGACCAGGTTTGTCGTTGATGGAGACCTTTTTACTGGAGGATTTTTTCTTGGCGAGCGGTACATCTTCTTCTTCGCCTTCATCCTCTTCAGCGCCCTCGTCTTCCTCTTCGTCGTCGTTGGGCAATCCGTACTCTTGAACTTGTTGGAGAAGTGTCATTTCCATGACGGATTCGTTCTCGTCCTCTTCGTTGATCTGTTCCAGGACGGAGTTGTACTCCTCGGTGGCGGAGGGAGGAGCAGGTGGCGGGTTTTGTTGGGTGGGGAGGGAGGTCCTCTGTGCCTTGGCGGAATTTCTGGGGAGAAGGGTTTTTAAATATGAGATAATTTGAATATAAATCGTCCGTTAAAATCAGCACATTTTTCACCTCTGGGAATTTATTTTTAAAAAATTCTGGACGACAATTTGTAGAGAAGGGAGTTGCCAATTTTTTAAAAATATGCACTCAAGATTTTTCCACTTTTTGTCGGAGGAGATCTCAAGTTTAAGAAGCCTTCAGAAAAATTGGAACTCGTCGAAACTGGCTCAAAAACTCACCGCCACTCTATTTATCAACTCACTGACAACTGAGTACAAATTAGTCGTCCAGAATTTTAAAATTAGTTCCCAGAGGGGAGAAATGGTTAAAAATGTGCAACTTTTTCCGATTTTTTTATGAGTCATCAAGTCCTTCGTTAATTACTAAATTAATTAATTACCGAGACGATCGCGCAGCTTTGACAAGTGCGGCGTTCGTAATTCCTGTATGACTTCCGCCTTGATACCGGTTTACGGAAGGTGGTGGTGCGTCCGATTGTCTGATTTTGAGTAAAGAATAATTTTTTAACATTAAAAAAATGAATGAGGGGATAAATAAATACAGCTTTATTTTGCTAACGTGTTCCATGTCCCGTCCGCATTGAGGACACCCACGGAGCGCATTTGTCTCTCCATGAGGAGCATGTCGCGACAGTCGTGGTCGCTGTGATGGACAGGAAATGTCATTAATTACACCTAACAATGAAGGTCTCCCAGCGTATATGCTCTCCGATTTTGAGCAAGTTAGTGTCAATCGATGACAAATTGATTAGGATGAAATTTGCGAAAGATACGATCTCCCAATGGACACGTTTGGCAAAGATATTTGCATCCGAAGAGGAGAATATGCTCTTTAAAGGCGACAAATTTTACACTTTGCGAATTTACTGCGTGTTTTCTCCTCTTCGGATGCAAATATCTCTGCCAAACGTGCCCATTGGGAGATCGCGTCTTTAGCAAATTTCACACTTATTAAATTTTTGATCGGTTGACATTAATTTGCTCAAAATAGGAAATTTATCTCACAATTTCTTCTTCATTCTCATCCTATGGAGGTCAAAAGCTCTTCGAGATGCGGTCGTGTGTCCGGCCAGAATGGGTCCAATTGTCGGAAGCGTGGGTCCGTTTGTAACGCCGGAAATGTTGCAATGTTTGTCGCACGAAATGCAGTTGAAATCTTTGAGCAATTTCTTCCTCGTTCCGGCCGGATCGGGTTCTTCGAGTTGTCTTTGAAGGCGACGAATCTTCTCGTCCAAGGCTGAAAAGAGGAATTTCAAATTTTGAAATTTAAACTTTCCAAATTATTTCAAAATTCTGGACGACGAATTTGTAGAGCAGGTCGTTCCCAATTTTTTAGAAATATCCACTCCAAATTTTGACACTTTTTGAAGGAGGAGATCTCAAGTTAAGCTTTCAGAAAAATTTGAACTCGTCGAAACTGGCTCAAAAAACTCGACGCCATTTCATTTATCAACTCACTGACTACAAATTTGTCGTCCAGAAATTTAAAATAAATTCCCAGAGCGGAGAAATGATTCAAAATGTGCTGATTTTGACGATTCGTCATGTTAAAATATGATCCGCTCCACCTTTAATATTCGATTTGAAGAAGGCCTTCACCGGAACGAGCTCGGATCGGTTCAATTTGTCCCGAACGTCGTGCACCAATTCGTCCGTGACTTGTTTCCAGTGTTCATTATTGTTCATTCCGGCCATCGCGAGGTCTCTGAGAGCGGTTTGGAGCTCCTCAATCGCCGTTCCAAACTCGTCGTAGGAAACTTTGGTGTTAATTTGACCCTTATCTGCTTTATCGTTTAGAGCGTCGATAAGCACTTGTTTTGTGACCATGCCGATCTCCACGGTGCGAAGTTGGTCCTGGATTCGCTGAAATTGAGAGAGAGGAAAAAAATTATGGCTTTTTTTCTGGGCTATTTTTTTGCGGGTGGTTTGCTACATTTGTTGAACTGCGAATCGAGAAATGCAAGAAATGCAATGTGCAAAAAACTGCAAGAAAGTGCGAAAAATGTGCGCCATGAAGCCACGCGTGGTATGAAGAATAATTGCGGGGCGTAGTTTCTCGCGCCATGCATTTCTTGCAGGTCAAAATATTTAACTGCACGATACCACTTTCTTGCAAGTGGTTACTTCCACCCGAAACACGGGATATTAAATTTACCGATAGCTTGTCTTGATGCTCCGTCGTCTGGGTCATCATATTGATCAAATTATTATAGAGATTTTGAATCTCTCCCTTTTCCACGGACGCTAAACCACTCGCGACGGAGACGGAGGTCGCCACCGCGGCCGCGTTGAGCGGATGAGTCGCCGTCACTCCGGCAGCAGGGCCGGGTTTAAGGACACCTGGTTGTTTCCCAGCCGCGGCGATGGGGGCGGGCTGGTTAAGAATATTTCGGGACGCGGTCTGACCAAGGTTGGCATTTTTTCCGGGCAGCATCATCGGTCTGTCCCAGCGCGCGGTGGCGATAGCGTCCAAATTTTCGGGGGGGATTTTGTCTAGAAAATTAATTTAAGATGTAAAGGAGGTGGAGGAAATTTGAAACATTTTTTTTAATATGCAAGAAGCGTACGAAGACGCTCGATCGTATCCATCGGAATTTTTTTGAGGATCGCGTCCTGCCTCAGGATCTTAATGGCGAGCGTTTCCTCGTTGTTTTTGATGATTTTAATCGCTTCCCAAATAGTGTTGAGACGTTCGAGGAAGTCCTGCTCGTCAAACTCGACGCCGTGAAGCTGTCCAAAAAGGAAAATTAGTTAGAATGGAGGTCTCCCAGCGTATGCTCTCCGATTTTGAGCAAATTAGTGTGAATCGATCGCAAATTTAATTAGGATGAAATTTGCGAAAGATACGATCTCCCAATGGGGACGTTTGGCAGAGATGTTTGCATCCGATCAGGAGAAAAACGCGTCCTAAAGTCGACAAACTTTACAGTTTCCAAATTTACTGCACGTTTTCTCCTCTTGGGATGCAAATCTCTCTGCCAAACGTGCCCATTTGGAGATGGCGTCTTTCACAAAATTTCATCCTAATTAAATTTGAGATCCATTATTTTAGTGAATCGAACTTAAAAATTCCTGCATAAACTATGCAAAAATGTCCCCCACTCACTCGCACGTTATTCCTAATCGCGTCCAAATCCAGCAAAATCAGAGAACGCATATCTCTCTGGAGCAGAATCTCTTCCGCATCGTGTCCATGCGGGGGCGGATAATTTGGGGGAAATCGCCCCATGAAGCTGGGTCTAGCATCATCTCCCTGATTCTGCTGTTGCTGCATGACCAGCCGCCCTGGTCCCGTCGGCGTTTTGGGGGAGTGACCCTGCACCGTTCGGGACTGGTCGGGCTGCTGGGTTCCCCCCGGTTGGTGGTGGGGCCCTGTCGGTCGTCCGGGCGAATGGCCATGGGTGGGGCGTTGCTGCGTGGGTGAGATGAGGGGACCAGATTTTGAGGGGACGGAGTGGACAGGTGGTCCTTGTGGGGGAGGAAGTTGACTGGTTTGAGGGTGCGGGGGACGAGCCGAAGAGTGCGCAGATGGAGGACCGGATGGTTGTTGGAGGGGGATAAAACCTTGACTTTGTGGGGGTGGGTAAGCTGCTTGACCTTGTTGACCTTGTTGTTGGGGTTGAGGAGGATAACCTTGTTGCTGGGGTTGAGGAGGAGGATAACCTTCACCCTGTTGAGGTGGATAACCTTGCTGTTGTTGTTGTGGAAGCAATTTTTGCCCTGCTGGCTTCGGCTTGGGAGGTCTTTGGCTTGGCTGTGGGGGAGGGTAACCTGGCTGGGCTTGACCTTGTTGCTGTGGAGGATAACCTGGCTGGGCTTGACCTTGTTGACCTTGTTGCTGTGGAGGATAACCTGGCTGGGCTTGACCTTGTTGACCTTGTTGCTGTGGAGGATAACCTGGCTGGGCTTGACCTTGTTGTTGTTGTGGAGGAGGATAACTTTGTTGCTGCTGCTGTGGAGGATAACTTGGTTGTTGCTGCTGCTGTGGAGGATAACCTTGACCTTGTTGTTGTGGTGGATAACCTTGACCTTGTTGTTGTGGAGGGTAACCTTGACCTTGTTGTTGAGGAGGGTAACCTTGACCTTGTTGTTGTGGAGGGTAACCTTGACCTTGTTGTTGAGGATAACCTTGGGTGCCTTGTTGTTGCACTTGTGGCTGTGGGGATGTTCCCTTATCTTGTCGCTGGACGATTTGTGTCTTAGGGCGGGGAATGGGGACACCATTTTCGTCAAGGGCAGGTTGAGGATCTTCGATGGAATTGTCATCCTCCGAAGGCGGGTGAGGTTCTTCCCCGGGTGTTTGCGTTTTCTGAGTTCTTTTCGCGGGAGGAGCGGCATCTGTTTGTGTCTGGCCTGGGGCAAAGTTGGGATGTGCTTGGGTTTCTTGGTCTTGAGTGGGGACGCCATAAGTAGAGGACTGGTCTTGTGGAAAAGTGCCCGGTTGACCAGGTTGACCTTGCATTTGGCCGGGTTGACCTTGCATTTGACCTGGTTGACCTTGCACTTGGCCTGGTTGACCTTGCACTTGGCCTGGTTGACCTTGCACTTGGCCTGGTTGACCTTGCACTTGGCCTGGTTGACCTTGCATTTGGCCGGGCTGACCTTGCATTACTTGACCGGGTTGACCTTGCATTACTTGACCTGGCTGTCCTTGACTTGGTCCCTGAATTTGCCCTGGTTGACCCTGCATTTGTCCCCCTGGTTGACCTTGCATTTGCCCTTGTGTTTGTCCTGGTGGACCTTGTAGTTGTCCAGGTTGTCCTTGTACTTGTCCTGGTTGACCTTGTATTTGGCCCTGTCCTTGCCCTCCTTGACCTTGCATTTGGCCCTGTCCTTGCCCTTGCATTTGGCCCTGTCCTTGCCCTCCTTGACCTTGCATTTGTCCTGGCTGACCTTGCACTTGTCCTGGTTGTCCTTGAACTTGTCCCGGTTGTCCTTGCATTTGCCCCTGTCCTTGACCCGGTTGACCTTGTATCATTTGACCTGGCTGTCCTTGCATTTGGCCTTGCTGCCCTTGGACTTGTCCCTGTGTTTGCCCAGGCTGACCTTGTGTTTGTCCTGGTTGTCCTTGCATTTGTCCTGGTGGACCTTGTAGTTGTCCAGGTTGTCCTTGTCCTGGTTGACCTGGAATCCGTTGTCCTAGCTGCCCTTGACCCGGTTGACCCTGTATCATTTGACCTTGTCCTGGCTGGCCTTGAACAAATTGTCCTTGACCTGGCTGTCCTTGAACAAATTGTCCTTGACCCGGCTGTCCTTGAACAAATTGCCCTTGTCCCGGCTGTCCTTGAACAAATTGCCCTTGTCCCGGCTGTCCTTGAACAAATTGCCCTTGTCCCGGCTGTCCTTGAACAAACTGTCCTTGTCCCGGTGGTCCTTGACCCGGTTGACCTTGAACGAATTGTCCCTGACCCGGCTGCCCTTGAATGATTTGTCCTTGTCCCGGCTGTCCTTGACCCGGCTGCCCTTGAACAAACTGTCCTTGTCCTTGTTGACCCTGTTGAAATAATGGAGTTTGTGCCTGTCCACGTGCCGAATTTGGAGCAGACGCCGACGTTCTGTGGGGTCGCATGACATCAATGTGTCCATTCGTAAACTGCATGACTCCCAGAAACGGAGCAACTTTCGAATGCCGGTCCAAATAATGTTGGAATTTCTGCAATTTCAAAAATTATGAGTAACATCACAAATAATTATGCAAAATTTCTGTAATTTCCGAAAATTATTGGCAATAATATAATTATGCAAATTTCACCTCAATCTGTTCCTGTTCATCGTCCCCCAAGGCGACTGGTAAGTTGTCGATGCCCAACTTGTCGCAGATGGAATGGAGCAAAATTCGCAAAATTTTGAAATTGACCGTTCCAATTTCCGGCGTCGCGAGGGCCAAGTCCACCAAATCTCCGATCGTCAAGGGTCCACCTTCTTCCCCTTCGCCCCCCACCTCCGGGGCAGCGGGTTCTTTCACGTCCGTCGCCATAATTATGGGTGAAAATATGCAAATCAAAAATCAGTCACGTTATCGTCGGGTGAAATGTGAGGAAAAACTTTGTCAGGATTATTTTAGTAGTTTTTTCGTAATTTTTTGTAAGAATGGGACGAAATTGTGGTTTTCTTTTTCGAAAATTTTTTTTTGGGGGAAATTGAATAAGTGAAACATTGGAAAATGTTGAATCGTCATGGTGTCAAAAGTTTTGACGACAAATCGATCCGTCGCAATTAAAAGGACGTGCAGTTTTTGGGATTATGTACCCGTCATGGTTGTCGGTCTGTCTGTCTGTCTATGGATTACGCTCATAAAATTTGTCCAATCAATGCAAAATTTTTTGGACACACGTAAAATATGCAAAATTAGGAATCTAATTCGAAAATTAAAGTCAAAATGTGCCCAAAAGTAATAAAAACTTGTAATGGTGGTACTCACGTCAATTATTAAGAACAATTTGACTCGGGCTAAATAAGCTGTACTACAGGTTTTTATCGTGGAAAAAAGGTGCAATTTTTGACCAACAAAGAAGTCATATTTCGAATTTCGAATTCGAAACCAAATTTTTTTTGCTGCATTATTTACAGATTGTTTTTATAAAATATGACATTTTTCCTCCACGCTCGCTTATTTTTCTGATTTTTGTCCCGATTTCTCGCTCAAAATTCAGTTCTCGTACATAATTTTGTTGATCGGTTTGCAAAATTTGTATGATTCTATTATTAAATGCGTAATTTTCTTGAAAAATGGGAATAATTGGCTTGACTAAATGGAAAAAATGCAGATTTTGCCTGAAAAGAAAATAATATTTAGGATTAGTTTGTATGTAACTTGCAAATTGTGATTGCATGTCATTTGCATCTCCTGATCCGGATCTCCGTCTGTGTATGACAACGCTGTAATTGATTCATGCATGTGTAGGCGTTCTTTGATGATGATGACATTACATTTCTTTCTCTGCGCAATTTTTTTTGCAATCTTTCGTGTTGTTGCACAAAATTCGCGAAAAAATTTCGCAAAGAAAACGAAACATATATTTACATACTTTTTGTCACTTTGTGATCATTTATGCTCTGCATGGATAAGTTTTTGCAATATTTCATATTTCTGCACAAATTGTTGTATTTCGCAAAGAATTGATATTTCGTTCTCTCCAATTTTTTGTAATCTTTCATATTTCTGCAAACTCCAAATTGTTATATTTCGCAAGAAATTTCGCAAAGAAAAAACGGACCACGTATTTATTTTTCTGTCACTTTGTCATCATGATGATGATGACATGATAAAGTCGGATTAAACTTAATCCAATCCTGACACGACACCCAGATTTACGCCAAGGTCAGAGAAAGCCTTGTTAGTTATAGGCGAACAAGGTCACCCGCCACGGATGACTGACGACCCCTCGTCGTTATTTCAATCATTTCTCATCTCTCACACCAAACACACACACGTCATGATGATCATTGCTGTACGAACCCGAATTGCAGAGAAATCCGGCACCTTCATCTCAACGAGGGAGAAAACCCGGGTAGTAGAGGAGCAGTGTTTCGGGTGAAAGTAACCACGTGTAAGAAATAACGGGAAGAATGTGTTTTTTATGCGGGTAAATATTTTGACCTGGGAAAAATGCAAGGCCCAGTCGCTATATTTCTTGCCATACCTGTTCAAAAATTAAGTTTTCATTCAAAAGTCAATCATCCCGATTTCTGAGTGAAGATTTTCATTCACATTCATTCACTCATTTTCTTTCAAACTCATTTCATTTCACTTCATCCGACTTCATTTCTTACTTCGCCCCATGTATTAAGCATAGGGTGAGAAATGAAATGAGTGAAGAATCTTTTCATTCATCTGAAATGACAGAATCCTTCAGTCCTTCATTTTCATTTAAATGAGAGGAAATTCATTCTCATTTACTATCATATTCAGTAAAATGAATGGAAGTGAACAGGTATGCTGCATGTGTTTCTTGCACTTCGTCCCAGTTTCGTGCACCTAGAATTTCTTGCGTTGCTTGCTTTGCGCTGCAAGAAATGTGACAAACTCGCGAGAAACGAAACATTGCATATTATTCGCGACTTATTAAGAAAATTTTGTGCTCGCTTATAGAATCCTTGATGCGGAAAATCTACATCTTAGGTTTTTTTATCTCTCTAAACATGCTAAATTTACAAAATTGACATCAAATCTATACAAAAATGGTGATACTATGATACTTAATTTTGAAAAGTTAGTATATTTAGAGAGCTAAAAAAACCTAAGATGTAGATTTGCTGGATATCAACATGATAAGCACAAACAAAAATTTTGATTTTTTGACATACGTAATATGTCAAAAAATTCATTTTGGTCCATAATCCACATAAAATCTTTTAACATTTACATCTCAAAATATCGTATTTTTCCACTGTTGACATCTAATCTAAACAGAAAATGTTATTCAAATAAAATCCGCACTTTAGAAATTTACTTCTTATTGAGTGAGAAATAACACATAAATATTTCGAAATTTCGAAAAATTCAAAACTTGGAAACCCTGTCGTGTAGTAGCAGAGGTATTTTTTAGCACCGATATGTAAGACGAGAGGCCCCTCTTTGCCTCCTTATTTCCTTTTTGACTTGTCCTTCCTGCAATCGGGGAGCAAAGAGACGTGACCTGGAACTGAATGAGATCTTTCTTTCCCCCTTACACAAAAGGATCACAAAAGAATGATCACTCTCCCAGCCAGCCAGCCATGGAAATAAGCTTCGTGTCATGTATGTGTCCAGTGGCCGCGGAAGCTGTGGGGACATTAACCTTGTGGATATAAGGGAGCGAGGGGTTTATATAACCTTACCTGTTCGAAAGAAACTGTTTTCATTCAAAGTTCAGTCATCCCGATTTGTAACTGAAGATTTTTATTCACATTCAGTCATTTTTGTTCAAATTTATTTCATTTTATTTCACTTCATCCGACTTCATTTCTTACTTCGCCATAGGGTGAACAATGAAATGAGTGAGAAATCCTTTCATTCACAGTCATTCATCTGAACTGACGGAATCCTTCATTCATTTTCATTCAAATGACAGGAAATTCATTTTCATTCAAATTATAGGGAATTCATTTTCATTCAAATTATAGGAAATTCATTTTCATTCTCCATCATAATCAGTCACATGAATGAGAGTGAACAGGTATGTATATAACATATATATATATGCTAGGTACATCGAACAACCGTGGGGAAATTGTCCCTCTGCCCCCACCCACGCTTCCGCGGCCACTGGTCTTCTCATCCGATCGCGATCTCTCTCCTTTCTGAGAGAAAAATTGAACCAATTTCTCCTTCTTCCCGATGTTTATAAAGTCCTGTCCACGTCCAGCAAGTTAACTTATTGTCATTTTAGGTGGACTGGAAATGTCATAATTTATCAAAGATTGGTGGGCATTGAACGAACCTGTTGTATTTTTCTGGCCGGCAGATTAATGGGGAAATCAGGGGTGCCGTAAAACTGGCTGGGGTTTGGTCCCACGAGTCCAATAATAAGAGAGTCCACGTCCAGTTCATGGGGTCAGTTCATTCATACAATCAGATAGACGATGAAAATCAGTGGCTGCGGAAGGTGTGGGGATATTGGGGGATGTTAACATTGTAGGATAGGGCAAACCTGTTCAAAAATTTAGTTTCCATTCAAAAGTCAGTCATCCCGATTTCAGACTGAAGATTTCAATTCACATTCAGTCATTTTCGTTCAAATTCATTTCATTTCATTTCACTTCATCTGACTTCATTTCTTACTTCGCCCCATGTATTAAGCATAGGGTGAAAAATGAAATGAGTGGAATTTTTTAATTCATAATCATTCATCTGAAATGAAGGAATCCTTCAGTCATTTTCATTCAAATCTCATGAAATTCATTTCCATTCACTATCATAAATCACTCAAATGAATGAATATGAACAGGTATGGGATAGGGGAGAACGGGGGTTTATGTAACATGAGGAAGCGATGGGGGCATCGAATTACCGTGCGGACATTGTCCCTCTGTCCCCACCCAAGCTTCCGCGGCCACTGATACGAATACAATAAAATCAGGTCTTTTGTACAAAAGTTGGTAGTAATTTCCGGGCCTTTATGGTGCACATATGTCGGTCAGTCAGTTCTCATCTTTATTAAAGGAGGAAGATGTCCAAATTGTGGATCTCGTGAGGTCAGAAATTGTAAAGAATAATAAAATCGATACGGTACGACGAGAGACGAGTTTCGTTCTTTGTTTTATTCGTGAAATGAAATGGAAACTTTGTGCGTTTTTTTATGTATTGCTTCGCGATTTTGTGTAATGAGGGTTTTTTCTGCCGTATTTTATTTTCTAATCCTAAGTCTCAGGACCGAGATGTGGGTACGTATCTAGATGATGGCAGTGTTTCGGGTGAAAGTAAATGTACCACGTGCAAGAAATAACTGCATGAAAGTGGTTTCTTGCAGGTAAACATTTTGACCTGTGAGAAATGCAAGACGCGAAAAATTACGCCCGCCGCTATAAATATTATTTTTCACAGTTTCTTGCACCTCCCATTTCTTGCTTTGCAATGTAAGAAACGTAGCAAAACTGCAAGAAATGACGTGTAAAAAATAAAATAATACCAAAATTGCTGATATTTTGACCTGCAAGGCGCAAAAAAAAGTACGTCTCGCTGCTATAATTCGTACACCACGTGAGACGTGACCACGTGGCGCATACATATTTCTTGCAGTTTCTTGCACCTCCCATTTCTTGCGTTGCTTCCTTCTCCCTGCAAGAAATGTAGCAAACCCGCAATAAACGAAACACTGCTTCCCGTATTTTCCAACTCCGAGACCGAGGATGTAACTTATTTTTTGTTCTCATCAATCTCATTCGATTCATTTTATCCACATTGTTGGCTGGAGGTGCATGCAATGTACGTAACGTATATCTTGTTCCATGGTACGTATGTATCTCTCTAGGCTGAGCAAATACATGATCATGATTCCTCGGCTCACACAGATTTACCCGATTTAACGCTGGATTTGATTTTGATTCCGCCCCATTTTACAACCGAAGAGAGGATTCGCACAGAAAGAGAAGACTCTACCGAATGGGAAATGAGATAAAAAAGATGAAAAAAGTTTGGATTTTATTTTCTCTTTAACACTAACATATTTTTTTACTTTTATTAGAAATCGTAACACTTTCAGTTGAAAGACTCGATCGAATTATGTGGAACTGTGCAAAATTCGGATTCTCGGAGAAATCGGGGGAATAAAATTGATCGCGAGAGAACGCAAAGTATAAGTAAACTTTGGCCAGGTAGGTGGAGATATGCAGTGGCCGCGGAAGCCGTGGGGACATTGGGGGGCATTAACATTGTGGGATGGGGGGAGGCAGGGGTTTATGATGATGGGGACATCGAACAACCGTGGGGACATTGCCCCTCTGTCCACACCCATGCTTCCGCGGCCACTGAATAAAACTATGCTATACTTGTGCAAGTAACCAGTGGCTGCGGAAGCTGTAGGGACATCGGGGGATGTTAACATTGCAGGATAGGGGAGGGACGGGTTTATATAACATGGGGAGATGATGGGGACATCGAACAACCGTGGGGACATTGCCCCTCTGTCCCCACCCACCCTTCCGCGGCCACTGTTTGAAGGTGTGTACGTTACTTGGACAAATCGGAGAATAGGAGAGATTTTTTTGTGTGAAAAGTCAACAGAAATTTTACATTTGAAAGGAATCCCGTAAGTGGAAGTAGTTTACTTAAGTGGGCGAAGGGAGAAGAAAAAGAGTGAGCAAATTTAATCGGAGGAATGAAATCTGGTGAAAGTAAGGAGCTAATAATATTGGAAAAAAGGTGGGTATGTAACAGTACTCGTTTCTTGGTGGTTTTGCACGGCAAAGTACAAAACGGGAGAAATGCGAGGCGCAAGAAACTGGGAGAAATATGCGCCATCTATCCATGTGCCGTAACAATGAAAACATTCAGAAATTTATTTTTTTGCTAAATTTGTAACAAAGAGTTGAATATCTATACTGCATATTTATCTTATGTAAAGTTTTGCTTGAAACCTAATTCTGAAATTATTGGGTAAACTTTCACTTTTTTCTGAGTTTGAGTATTTCACAAAACAAATTCTCATATTTATGAAGAACTTACTTTTATTTTGGAAAAATTAAATTTGTAAAAATGGCAATTAATACAATACCAACTTAATTACTCTGAATGAAGTCGTATCACACCATTAATCTATAAACATAAATTATATCGTTAATATTTATTAAAATGTAAATGACGCGAAAATATCGCTAAACTTCTGATTCAGAAATCTAACTCCTGCATTTTTTGCAGGTCAAAATATCTACGAAATCACTTGCCTGCCTTTATTTTTTGCAAGCGGTTATTTGCACCCAGTGTTTCGTTTGTTGCTGATTTGCTACATTTCTTATCCTGTAATGCAAGAAATGTAAGAAATATGCGCCGTTCGAAGTATATCGGCTTCATTTCTTGCACCTTACATTTCTCCCAGGTCAAAATATTCACCTGCAAGAAACCACTTTCTCCCCCTTATTTCTTGCACGTGGTTACTTTACTTTCACCCGAAACCCTTTTTTACATATCCTGCAACGCAAAATTTTCTCTAAATGCATCGACCATCTCGTCGCCCCACTTTGTTCCAAAAACTAAAAAAAAGGTGGACATGGATGGAAAATATAATATATAAAACGATATGATACGATACGATCTCGTAGGTGGAGTGGAGTGGACTTCCTTCTGCACATAAATCATGAATGTGTGTCTCGTCTGTAAGAGCATCATTTTAAGATGGGACAAAAATTTATAAATCTTGCCACGTTACTTAAATGCATCGCAGAGAAAGATTTGCAGAGGGAAAGAGAAAGCCGTTTTGCCCGGAGAAAGTTAATGGAAAGTGGTAAAAGCTGCCAGTGCCAGAAGCTGCAGCTTGCTTGCTAGCGGACCAGTGGCCGCGGAAGGTGTGGGGACATTGGGGGACGTTGACATTGTAGGATGGGGGGAGAGAGGGGTTTATATAAGATGGGGAGATGATGGGGACATCGAACAATCGTGGAGATATTGTCCCAATACCTGTTCACCTTCATTCATTTGAGTGATTATGATGGTGAGTGATAATGAATGAAAATGAATTTCCTCTGATTTGAATGAAAATGACTGAAGATCCCATCATTTCAGACGAATGAATGTGAATGAAAGGATTCTTCACTCCTTCATTTTTCACCCTATGCTTAAGGCATGGGGCGAAGTAAGAAATGAAGTCCGATGAAGTGAAATGAATCAATGACTCAATATGAATGAAAATCTACACTCAGAAAGCGGGATGACTGACTTTTGAATGAAAACTGAATTTTTGACCAGGTATGATTCTCCCTCTGTCCCCACCCACGCTTCCGCGGCCACCGTTCCGGACGTATGTAGACTCTGGTTCGAGAAAGTAGATCCGGGGAAAAGGTGGGGAAGAATAAAGCTGTATGAAAAAGTAGGTAATATGTAAGTCGTCCTTCCTCCGCAGGGTATCTGAAGAGAGAAAGTAACAGTTTTGCAGGCAGGGAAAGTGCGACTTTCTCTCCGACTGGCTGGCTGGCTGCCGGGTTCAGGGCCACTCACGCCAAGGTGTCGCATAAGATACGTGCAGTACGTACTTATTTTGACGACGACGACGACCTACATACTTTGTGAATATGGGTACCAATTCGCTCCAAGGGGTTTTTGCGGATGGCATATTACGTGTCAAAGTAGGGTCCTGAGAGTGGTAATTTTTCTGGTTTGAGATCTTCTATGTGTCGCTAATTATGTAGAGATTAGAATCACAGTTAATTTTTCTTGTAGGCTAGAAAACACACTGAATTTTTGTGCGGAAGTTGATGATTTTATGTATTTTTCCCTATGGGACTGTGGGGATTGCACTCTTTTGTAGGGGTAGGATTTATCCTTAGATAAGCCCAAATATGTATGTAAGTGAATGGCATTTGTACGTAACTTATTGTAGTAGTGCCGACGGCCTACATACTTTTTGAATATGTAACAATTCGCCCCTAAGCAGTTTTGTGGGTTACATATTTATTACGTGTCAAAGTATAGCCCCCGAGGGGGGGGGGTAATTTTTCCCTTTTTGATTCCTTCTCGGTGTCGCTAATTATGTCGAGATCAGAATCACGGTTAATTTTTTTCCTTCGTGAGAAAACTTTGTAGCAAAAAAAACAGAAGCCATACTTTGTACGGAAGTTGGTGATACCAATTTTTTCCATTGCGCCTGTAGGGAAAGCATTCTTTTTTTCACCCGTGTGGGATTTTTTGTTGAACGACATACATCACTTATTATAATAGCGACAACAATACACACTTTCTTAATATGTAAGGTATTTTTGTGGATATTATTACGTGTCAAAGGTCAAACTAGCCACCTGAAAGAGAGCGGTAATTTTTCCGTCGCCGCTAATTAAGTATGTCGAGATTAGAATCACAGTTAATTTTCTTTCGTGTGAAAAACTTGGAGGAATGAAAAAAACAGAGACCATACTTTGTGCGGAAGTTGGTGATACCATTTTTTCCACTGCGACTGTGGGGAAAGCATTCTTCTTTTTTTGTACGTATAGGATTTAAATCCACCCGAGTAAGTAGATAGATACGTGAATAACACACATATGTACTCTATTGTAGTAGTGACGACGCTACACATACGTAATTTGTCAATATATATCAATTCGCCCCAAGGTATTTTTATGAATTATTACGTGTCAAAGGTCAAACTACATATGTACATACTAGTACATAGCCCCTGAAGGAGAGTAATTTTTCCATTTCTTCTCACTCGCTAATTATATCGAGATTAGAATCACGGTTAATTTTCCTTCGTGAGAAAAACTCTGGAAAAACACGGAGACCATGCTTTTGTACGGAAGTTGGTATTTTTCCCACTGCGACTGTACTATGGGGAAAGCATTCTTCTTCCTTTTTTTTATAGGATTTAGATCCACCCGAGCAAGCAAGTAAAATGCTTCTGCTCGTGGGAGGAAGGGAGTCCAGTCCAGTCGCGGTGCTTGGTGTTGGTTTGGTTCAGTCTCAGAGCGGATTTCGGTTTGCTTGTTGCTTTCTCTCTCTCGAAGCCTGCTTTCTCCTCATTCATTCCTCACTGAGAATTCGTAACATTCGTTCGTTTGTGCCGTGCAGGAGGAGTGAAGGCACGCAAAGTGGAAGCAAAAGCAAAGCTGAGTTTTCCCTTTTCTGTGAAACAAATTCCTGTCTAATAATCATCCCACGAAGCCACGAAATCCATTCCACTGCAGTGTGTGCTTTCGTTTCTTCACCTTTTACGTACTGCAACCACACATATTTTTTGGGGGGAAATGCAGTGAAATAGTGGAAAGGAAAAAAATATAAGATATTTTTTTTTTAAATGGGGAGTTGTTGTTACTGTATAACATAGTTTTTGCCCGTTTTAGGCAAGGATTTTGTGTGGAATATTATTTCTGGACCTGGTTTGAAGAAGTGTATATTTCTTCGGGGGTATTTGTTTCGGTGAAAGTTGAAAAAAAATATAAGAGAACTTTTTTAGATGGACAAAATGAGAGGTTGTTGTGTTGTATAACGTAGTTTTTGATAAGGATTTTGAGTGTAGAATTATTTCTGGACCTGTTTTGAACAAGTGAAATATTTCCGGGGCATTTGTGTCGGTGAAACTTTTAAAAAAAATATGACACAATTTTTTTAACGTAGGAGCAGGACAAAATTGTTGTGCTGTATGACATAGTTTTAGGCAAGGATTTTGTGTCTAGAATACGTATATTTACATGTTTATCTCTGGTACTGTTTACGAATAAGTGCGCATAATTCTTGCGGGGTATTTATTTCGGTGAGAGAAACTAGATTTAATTACGGACGGAGTGATTATCGACATTCGTAATTGAGCCGGCGGCGGAGAAAGTTGAGGGGACAGCACATCACAGGAACCGACTTCATACTACACTCAGGTACGTAAATAAGCAAGTAAAGCACCAAATATCATATCATCAGTTTATGTATATGTATGTAATTTAGTTGAGTAGTGCATATTCAAAGGCAGTGGCCGCGGAAGCGTGGGTGGGGACAGAGGGACAATGTCCCCACGGTTATTCGATGTCCGCATCATCTCCCCATGTTATACAAACCCCTACCTCCCCCCATCCTACAATGTTAATGTCCCCCGATGTCCCCACGGCTTCCCCGCGGCTACTGTTCAAAGGAAGGAAAGAAGCAGGTCGTACATATTATTTTGTGTGTGGTTAGGTTTTGCTGCAGGTTAAATTGAATAGCAAACTTTCTCTGGGTTGGCGTTATTTTATTCATGATCATTAAGCCTGTTTACCGAGATCGAAGTTAGTCAGTCAGTGAGTGAGTCGAGTCAAATGGAAAAGTTTTTTCGGAGAAGTTTGATCATTTTAGAAGCGAGGAAAAAAATAAGGTGGGCGGTTATTTTGTGTGAATACATTTAGGTGAATAAGGTGGTAACAAAATTGTCACCGAGGGGTGATATCAAGGTCTGAATACAAAAATGTATTAAAAGTCTATTGGAATGTACTAAAATCTACCAGATGTACATACTAATCCTAATTGCATAAAAATGTACAAAAATCTTATAAAATTTGAAACCAAATTCCCCAAAAATATACAAAACCTAATATACCATCATATACAGAAATGAAGTAAAAGTCTACAAAAAACACCAAAGTCTACCAAATCTACCAAAATCTACAAAAAATTTATAAAAATCTACAAAAATCTTCAAAAATCTCCCAAATCTACCAAATCTATACTAAAAGTCTAGTCTAATTCTAGTCTATAACGTATAAAAAAATCTACAAAATCTACATGAATCTTCTAAAATCTACCAAATCTACCACTTGGTAAATATCTGTTCAAAAAATATGAAATTTCTTCCGAATTTTGGCACCTTCGCCACCTTCATAATCCAGACGATTTTGTTCAAGTTATTTACAATGCCTCCTTTCCCATTTTATGTTTATTCTTTTGTTTGTTTGTTCCTTCGTAAATAAATTTAGAATGCGTCAAAATATGTAAGTCTGCTGGTTGTTGTTTTGTTGTTGGGGAGGAAGGAAGTAAATGGAGTGGAACGTGGGTTGGTTGGTTTGGTTGGTCGGATGGCGTGTGAAGGCGATGACGAGTTCATGAATTAAATATCCGTTGGTTGAGCTACCGCCTGTTGACAGGTGTTGGAGGGGCTTGTCCTTTTCGTGTCCCGTTCTCCAGTGGCCGCGGAAGCCGTAAGTGGGGACATGGGGGGACATTAGCATTGGAAGATGGAGGGAGGAAGGGGTTTATGTAAGATGGGGAGATGATGGGGACATCGAATAACCGTGGGGACATTGTCCCTGTTGTCACCCACGCTTCCGCGGCCACTGCATAAAAGTAGTATGTTATACTTGTGCAAGTAATCAGTGGCCGCGGAAGCTGTGGGGACATCGGGGGACATTAACATTGTAGGATAGGGGAGCGAGGGGTTTACATAACATGGGGGAGATGATGCGGACATCGAACAACCATGGCGACATTGTCCCCCTGTCCACACCCTCAAGCTTCCGCGGCCACTGTTTGCGAGTCCACTTATTACCTAATAAAATGAGGGAATGACTACTACCTTTTAAGCAGAGGAGACATTATTGTCCGCATATCCGGACAGAGGCAGAGGTACAATTACTGGCAGACATAAGGATCCGTGTCCCACTGGGCAAACTGGGACGAGGAGGAGGAATCATGGGGAGATATTTTATGTGCATGTATGTACTAAAATATTGCGACCGTAAATAATATGCGGAGAGAAAATTGTCACCGAGTTTACATAGCAAGCTGGGCTATTTTTAGAATTTATTATGCAAATTTATCCGTGGGGAGAAATTGGTACCGGAGTGGGCAAATTTTTTTTTGCGAAAATTTTCTGATGTGACGAATTTTAATATGTGAGACAATCTGCATAATCATGAACAGTCTTTTAGTTGTATTTCCGGTTAACGAAATTTTACGATTTTTTTATACTTTTTTTAGCAAGCCCAAATTAGGATTATTTAAAACTAAAATTAACGCCGTAGCTCTGTCCGTTCGAAACTTATTTAAGATTAAAGTTTAATTGAAATGGTGTAAAAGTAAGATTTGCGAAGTTTAGTAGGGTATAAAATTGCCTAGATTTACAATTTTTGGGAAACAATTCATCGTAATTCGGCCAGTTTTCATCCGATTTGCATGAAATTTTGGTACACGTTTTTCCACCTTTTTTTAGCAATTTCGCAACACGGCGCCCATCGTGATCGTGTTTTCGCCATGCTTCATCGCTCATAATTTCGCAATTTTGCGTCTGATTTGCGGCGAAATTTCGACACAAGCTTTTCCTCAGTGTTATTGCAAAAAAATCAGTCAGGCATACCGTTTCACTAACCGGAAATAAACGACTATATGTACGAATCCGCAACGTCAGTCGTGGTGACATATGCTTCTCCTCGTCACTCCAAAAGTTTAGGGTTCAAAATTTAGAATGCGAAATTCGCAGATTCGCGAAAATCCTCCTTGGAATTGGGGCACCTTACAAAGTTATAGCGCTCATAAAAAACTGAAATGAAATGTGTTACACCGAAAACGAGTGTGACACGGGTTCCTTGCACTCTTTTGCCTGCATGGCCCGAGGACGTGGAAAATTTGTAATTTCTTCTCTACAAAGGAGAAAGTTTCTGAGATGAAATGGAAACTTTGGGTAAAAAGAAGAAAGTGCCGTGGCTCTTTGAAAAATTAGAAACGGAAGTGAAAGGTAGTTCGGGGCTCTGGTAGGGGAAATGATGCCGCTTGTCTCTCTTCAGTGGCCGTGGAAGGTGTGGGGGCATGGGGGGACGCTAATATTGTAGGATAGGGGTGGGAGGAGTTTATATAAGATGGGGGCATCGAACAACGGCAGGGAAATTGTCCCTCTGTCCCCACCCATTCATACCTGTTCACATTCATTCATTTGACTGATTCTGATGGTGAATGATAGTGCATGAAAATGAATTTCCTATTATTTGAGTGAAAATGAGTGAAAGATTCCTTCATTTCAGATGAATACTGTGAATAAAAGGATTTTTCACTCATGTCATTTTTCACCCTATGCTTAATACATGGGGTGAAGTAAAAAATGAAGTCAGATGAAGTGAAATGAATTTGAAAGAAAATGCCTGAGTGTGAATGAAAATCTTTAGTCAGAAATCGGGATGACTGACTTTTGAATGAAAACTAAATTTTTGAACAGGTATTGTAACATGGGGAGATAATGGGGACATCAAATAACCGTGGGGACATTGTCCCTCTGTCCTTACCCAAGCTTCCGCGGCCACTGTCTCCCTTTTCGCTGTGGAGGAAGGAATTCCGTATTAATAGAAATCCTTCAGTTTTACTTTCTCCTTTTTGCAATTTTTTTTCTGCAATAGTGAAACTTTGGGGAATGATGATTTTTTTATTTTGAAGAAAATTCGACTGGACAGGGATAGATTTTTTGGAGAGAAAGAGAAGAAGCGTTCGTATAAAAATTTAAGTCTGGTTCAAAGTACATGGGCACATTTTTAATAAATTATTACGACTTAAAGTTGATTTGTAGCCCGAGCGAGGCGAGACAGTTTTTTTGCGCATTTTTGTTTCGAGAGCAAGTATAAGTCAGGCAGGATGGCCAATATTTCGCAAAAATGACATTTTCATTGTGCATATGTAAGCTGGCCATAGATTCGCCAGGTGACAAATTTGCAAAAATTTGCAAAAATGTCTGGAAATTTAGTTTGTTCGATCGGTCGTGTTGTGTGTGATCTTCACGGTAATTTTTAATTATTTTCCAGATTTTCAAAAAAGGGGTCATAATTCTTGTTCTATGTAACAAATATATGGACGGACAGACATACATATCGATCTCATTAGGTCTCCACCAAAAAAAGAGAAACTGGTGGCAAAAATTTTGGAAATTTACAAAATTTCATCAAAACCCAGTAGTTGTCACGATTCTGCTCTATCTTAACAAACGGACGGACAGACAGACATTTGGGTTCCATAAGGCCTCGCTCCCCCCAAAAAGAAACCAACGAGATCAAAAGTGGTACTAAAAACCAGGTAGACTTGGAGTAACCACCTCGATCGAGTCTCATTGCTTCGGAGGAGTAAAAAAAGCAGGAGGTAGTTCAAGTTAGATAACGCAATTAGTGCCACCCTTTGATTTTAAGACTCCATTTTAATTGATTTAAGGAAAAAGTAAAGTGAACCCATTCACCTCATTAATAATTTCCCCAATTGCGTCACAGCCTCCTTTCTCAACGAAAAATTCCACAATTTTTTTTCTCCGACTGAGAGAACTAAGTAATTGGATAGAAATTTTAAAATTTCGATCTAATTCGATTTCGAAATAAAAAGTATTTTTTTTATTGAATCAGAAAATTTTGTAAAAAAGTACATATGAAAAATGTGTGCAACTTTTTTCAGATTGAGAAAACTATGTAATATTGTCGAATTTTGAAAATACGTCAGAAATTCTGTCACGAAATAACGTCAAAAATTATGAAGAATGTGTGCAATTTTTTTCAAATTAATTGGAGAAGATTTTGATTTATAGAATTTTTTTTTATTATTAGTCATTTTAAGGATAGATTTTGTAAAAAGTATAAAAGTATTGTATCAAATTGTCTTCCAAAATTAAGAAGCAATTGGATTAAATTTTGCACATCAGAAAATATCTATTTTTATAAGAGGTTAATAGTTTAAAGTAGATAGATTTTGTAATAAGTATGGAAAATGTGTCTGTTAGACGCCAGATTTTGATTTTTCGAAAGTTTTGTTGCGTTAGTTTAGAGGTATATTTTTAAACTCCGACAGAAAATAATATTTTTTTCCCAAAAATTTTGAAAACTAATTAGATCGAATTTTTAAAATAAGTATTTTTTAAATTGAAGCAGTGCAAAGTAGATTCTGTAAAAAG